GAATCGTGTGGAAGATGCCTTTTCTTCCGTTGATTCGACGTCGCAGCTAAATGAACTCGATTTCAGCAGTGGATGATAACTATAAAACAAATCAGGATGCGATGCGAAATGTCGCGAAACTGGCGATTCTTCTATTACACCAGATACGTGTGGAAAATGCATTTTCCTCCGCGGATTCGATATCGCAGCTAAATGAACTCGATTTCAGCAGTGGTTGATGACTATAAAACAAATTATGATGCCATTGCAAAGTGTCGCGAATCGGCGATTTCAGTAAACAGTCTGAATCGTGTGGAAGATGCATTTTACTCCGCGGATTCGACATCGCATCACTATGAATCCCCTATGAGGTCCCGATGATGGTTTTAAACAAATCCGGATGCGATGCGAAATGTCGCGAAACTGGCGATTTTTCTATTACACCAGATACGTGTGGAAAATGCATTTCCCTCCGCGGATTCGACATCACAGCGAAATGAACTGGATTTCAGCAGTGGATTTTCAATACAAAACAAATTATGATGCCACTGCAAAGTGTCGCGAATCGGCGATTTCAGTAAACAGTCTGAATCGTGTGGAAGATGCATTTTCCTCCGCGGATTCGACATCGCAGCGAAATGAACTCGATTTCAGCAGTGGATTTTGATTACAAAACAAATCAGGATGCGATGCGAAATGTCGCGAAACTGGCGATTTTTTTATTTCACTAGATACGTGTAGAAAATGCATTTTCCTCCGCGGATTCGACACCGCAGCGAAATGAAGTCGATTTCAGCAGTGGATGATAACTATAAAACAAATCAGGATGCGATGGGAAATGTCGCGAAACAGGCGATTCTTCTATTACACCAGATACGTGTGGAAAATGCATTTTCTTCCGCGGAATCGACATCGCATCACTATGAATCCTCTATGAGGTCCCGATGATGGTTTTAAACAAATCCGGATGCAATGCGAAATGTCGCGAAACTGGCGATTTTTCTATTATGGCAGATTCGTGTGGAAGATGCATTTTCCTCCGCGGATTCGACATCGCAGCGAAATGAACTCGATTTCAGCAGTGGATATTTCTTATGAAACAAATAATGATGCCATTGCAAAGTTTCGCGAATCGGCGATTTCAGTAAACAGTCTGAATCCTGTGGAAGATGCATTTTCCTCCGCGGAATGGACATCGCAGCTGAATGAACTCGATTTATGCAGTGGATGATGACTACAAAACAAATCAGGATGCGATGCGAAATGTCTCGAAACTGGTGATTTTTCTATTACACCAGATACGTGTGGAAAATGCATTTTCAACCGCCGATACGATATCGCAGCTAAATGAACTCGATTTCAGCAGTGGATGTCGATTACAAAACAAATTATGATGCCATGCAAAATGTCGGGAAACGGCGATTTCTGTAAACAATCTGAATTGTGTGGAACATTCCTTTTATTTCCAAATTTGACATCTCACCCCTTTAAGTATCTTGCGGTTGGTTTTTTCATAGGGAAATATTAGGTTTGTCACTTAATAGTTCAGGTAACCATAGTAGTTCCAAATATGATTTCCGTAAGAATTTCCTCTATTATGGAAATGTTTTTCATGAATTCCCATAAATCGAAAATTTCTACTGGCTGATACCTGCTCTTCGACTCCCACCTAATAGAGGTCAGTTGGTTCTCTACTGTTATCATTACAATGCAAACCCTTTTCTTAGCTTCCAATGGCAAGAATTGTCCCAATTTTTTTATTGATGACGAGGGCGAATTCTGGAGAAAAAAAGAAACATTTTAAAAGCATGGCAACTCATTCTCGACCCACTTCTATTATCAAAGCGTACCTTTTAGCCTATCGTGCAAGTAGGTGCCCGTCCGACTAGTAATTTTGTGAAAAATGGAATCATATTCTGTAGCAGCCAGTCTTCAGAGATATGAGAGCTATCCCTCTCTTGATAATTTCACTTCTTTCCCTCATTCCTTCCCTTCCTATTGGGAAAGTTACTGATATTTTGAGTGTGTTCCTTTGTCAAGGACACGCAATGAGTTGTTCGTCGACGAGGACGGATCTGCTGTCGATGCCGGGGTTGCAGCAGTGACAAAATAGCGCCGTCCACGGTTACGCATCGACTCTATTCCACAATTCCACTGAGCCCACAAGTATTTTTTAAAATGTCAGACCTGAATGAGCGACTCTCCAAGGGCAGGATAATGAATCCGAAGATAGTCACGGCCATCCACCTCCATTCTATTTGCATTTTCATTTTCTGACAAAATTCTCCATTCCGAGTCCTTTTCTTACGTCTTCTCGATGCATCGCCCAAACTGAAGGCTTCGCGGAGACACACTGGAAACACACACACAACAGAAAATCGGAACGAGTTCATTTAATCCGGCAACCTGAAACGGATGATATAATATGCTATAGTCACACCTCACCACGCGAGACCGACAGTCCAGCCCAATCAAAGCCATAGATGATAAGACCGGGATCGAATTATTTTTAGAGGGAAGACCAACAGAGGAAAACTCAGGAACAGATCAGGTATGCTCTATTCTGAATTATCCGTTCCTGGATGACCCATGACCCGATAAGAATTCCATTGCAACCCACTTTTCACTTTAGATGTGGAAACCATCTCACCCAGGCACTCGACGATGCTCCTTGTCCACGGTCACAGCGTTGAGAAACCTCCTCGACGGTTTGACTAGCCCATTTCGGACTTGTTGTGCAATTTCTGTGACACTGTAGTTAAGGAGATCGAAGTGCTCACTTGGAATGTATTCAAACCTCACCTTTCGGGTTCGTTCGTGCCCTCTTTTACCGCCTCGTACCGCCTCATGAAAGATACAGCTCTTCTATCATTTCATGGAGTAATGACGCAATGTAATGACGCGTATGATGTTCTCGCCAGTCATCACGTCTACTCTTCAAATACCAAATGCACGGTGGCGGTCTGTTCGCGAGGTCTAGGTCTTAATGTCTCTTCATCTTCTTTTCTTCTGCTTTCATCGAATCGACTGCCAAAACTGCCAAAAGCCGGGAGGAAGACAAAGGTCATCGCGCTCCTCAAGCCAGGTAAAGTCATCTCCTGAACTCGGCACCACCACCAAGTGTGAAAAAAAAACAGTCCGCCTCATCGCCACTATGCTCAGCGACAGCCTGTTCCGAGTTCACCTCGGAAAACAATGCAGCCGCCCACGAACCCTCCAAAATGGCCTGGCACAGGGCTCGGTCCAAGCACCGGTCCTGTTCAACCTTTACACCAGCGATATGCCGACCACGAAGAGCCGCAAGTTAGCTTACGCGGACGACGACGTCGCCCTCGCCATCCACGCGATGTCACTGACGGAGGGTCAAGACACCCTCAATGCCGACCTGAAGATAATGGAAGATTACTTCCACTACTGGCGGCTGAAACCGAACCTGACGAAAACTGTATCCTCAGCGTTCCATCTTAACAATGCTGAGGCAAAAACGACCCTACGTATCGAGTTCTGCGGCAAGATCATCCCCCACGAATCCCTGCCGAAGTATCTTGGCGTCGTCCTCGACCGGAGCCTCACCTACAAACAACACTTAGTGCAGGTGAGCAACAAGATGAAGACGCACAACAACAAAGTCCACAAACTAGCTGGGACCAGCTGGGGCTGCAACGCGCGAACTCTTCGGACAGCCTCACTCGCCCTCGTGTACTCAACAGGGGAATACGGTTGCTCAGTATGGGGACGCAGCATACACACCAGACACGTCGACACGCAGCTCAACATCGCCATGCGTACAGTTACCGGTGCATTAAAGTCAACGCCAACGTGCTGGCTCCCGGTGCTTGCACACATCTCTCCGCCGCAAGTACGACGCCAAACAGTTACACTGCGGGAAGGTCATACAATAAGGTCATACAATACCAAGACCTTCCGATCTGGAGAGATCTGGACCCTATGCCTCCAAACCGCCTCTCCTCGCGACGACCGTTCTGGACCGAAGCGATCTCTCTTCACGCAGCCAACATCAATGAGGGAGAGAGGTGGAAACAAGAATGGGCCTCGGCGGACGTAAAAAGCAAAAGCCTCGTTCCGGATCCCACCACCGAACCTCCGGTTTTCGACCTTCCTCGCCGCCAGTGGACCACCATCAATTGCATCAGAACCCTACACGGACTATGCGGACACCAGATGCCCAAATGGCGCATCAAAAACAGTGCAAGATGCGACTGCGGTCACGAGCAGCAAACCGTCGATCACATCGTCAAAGACTGTTGGATCTACGCTTTCAGTGGTGGAATCTCGGATGTCCACTCCGCCTGTCCTGATGCAATCGAGTAGATTAAAAATCTTAAAATACACCTGTGACTAAAAAAAAAAGAGCTGCTCCATCATCCATACGAAAGAAGATCGAATCGAGGTCCGACATTGGGACTTGTCATTCACCTTTTAATAGTGTGTAAGCACGAAATTTCGCGCTCACGGCAAATCAACCAATGGGTAACACCCGACCATCTCAGATTTTGATGAAATTTTTCATGTAGGGAAAACTTCCGAAAACTCGGAAGTATAAAATTTCAGAACCATCGAGTCAAAAGGTCAGATGCTGCTACAGGGTGGTCAAAATGTAAGGTCACCTTCTAACCTCTGATTTTGATATCCCTGCAACTCAAAAACTTTTCGTACTAGAACCTTGACTAAAGTGCCGATTCACTGGAAATTGCCTGAAATATTCAAATTTTGTATTAAAATATCACTCGAATAAAAAACACACAATGTTATTTACGGACAAAAATTTTGACCTTTAAACTTTTCGACTTGCATGTATTGGGTTGATTGGATTGGTCTTTCCGTTTTTTGAAAAGATGTTTACTTGTTTACATGAATTTTGAAAAACATGTTATTGTACTAAGAAATACTACACTTGGTAGGCTATTCCACAACATCCTTGTTCTCTTGTCCGCCCAATTCATTGCAGAGATAATGACATCTGAGAAACAGCATGTTCGTCACTGTATTCTTTATGAGCATCAGCTTGGACACTCAGCCAGCGAAGCAGCCCGAAATATATGCCACGCAGTTGGAGCAGGGGCTGTGTCCACTCGAGTGTGCCAGAATTGGTTTGAACTGTTCGCCTTTCGAAGATAGACCGAGGTCAGGCCGACCATCGGTGCTGCATCCGAAGGATTTGCTCTCCCTAGTGGAATCCGACGCTCACCAGACCTCGCGCTGCCTAGCAAGTACTCTGGGGTGCAACCAAAGCACCATCCTTCGCCAGCTTCATTCGCTTGGAAAAGTGAGTAGACTTGGATCCTGGGTACCTCACTCTCTAACCCAACGCGACCTTGACGCGCGCTCTGAGGTTTGCGCGAATCTTCTGTCCAAGTCCCGCCGCTTCCATTGGCTAGACAATGTGCTCACTGGGAACGAAAAGTTGGAAGTGTATGTCAACCTTACCCGCATGCGTCAGTGGATCAGCAAGGAGGAAAAGCCGGATCCAGAGCCGGAAGCTGATCTTCACCCCAAGAAAGTCATGCTTTCACTTTTGTTCGATGTTCACGGAGTCATCTACTTCGAGCTGCTGCAGGACAGGGCCACCATCTCCGCTGCCTCGTACTGCGATCAACTGGAGAGACTCGCAACCAAACTCAAAGAACAGTGCCCAGGACGCAAGAAGGTATACTATCTTCGCGACAATGCACGGCCACACACAGCCAAGCAGACTCGGCAGAAGATTCTCGAGTTAGGATGGGAGCTGCTACCCCACCCAGCGTACTCCCCAGACATCTCCCCTTGAGACTACAAAGGCTTCAGAAGCCTGCAGAACCACTTGGATGGAAAGAAGTTCGATGACAGGAAGCACTTCAAACAGGACCTGCATTCATTATTTGACTCCAAGTCTCCTTCCTTCTACGCAGAGGGCATCCACGCTCTGCCCCAGAGTTGGCGACATGTCGTGGACCACGAAGGTGATTATATAACATTGATTGATGTTATTGTATAAATAAATTTGAGAAATAGAAGAATCAAAAAACGAAAATACTTTTGCACCAACCCAATATATTTACACTTGTCGAGAAAGATACTCCAGCAACTAAAACCTTCCCATGTGAATGCAGCCCCCAACTCCGGAATTCGATTGTGCTACAGATTGTGCTACTGGGAGGAAGTGGTATCATTCCGCACCACTTGAGGGCAAACCAATATCGTCAGGTGTATTCGACTATCGATGCAAAATCGTTAGGAAGACGACAGTCCAATAATTCTCCATTGTTTATGATTCAAAACCGCAGTATTTAATTCATTTCCTCTAGATTGGTACGTTTTACAATAGGCTAAACCTGGGAAAATGATTCACGATGTTGGTCTACTCTTCTCCAGAGATATGTTTGACTGCCGAACTCTGTTCTGACTGAATCAAGGCCTGTGGTAGCCATTTGACCATTGTGGTAACTTTTCCCACGGAGGCCTATTTGGCATTCAATATCTCGTATACCTTTTGGGCTAGAGCTCTGAAATATGGTATGCTACCATACCTCAGAGGTCATCAAGCATGACGTTTTGCAACGAAATCCCAGTCGCACACGCAACCACAATTTCGATTACTTGAGTCAGAATGCCTCATATATGGTAGGGATCTTCTGGCTCAAAAATTTTTTGACGGAATACAAAAAATATTACCTCAGTAATTTTGCAAATTAGTAGCAGTCATTGCCCTTTTCATGGCTTTTTTAAATTTGAATTTGTGGGGGCTCTTGCTAAGTTCTAAGGTCAAATTTTTTGTCCGTGAATAACATTGTGTTTTTGATTCGAGTGATATAAGTTCTATAAAATTTGAATATTTCAGGCAATTTCCAGTGAATCGACACCTTAGTCAAGGTTCTAGTACGAATAGTTTTTGAGTTACAGGGATATCAAAATCGGAGATTAGAAGGTGACCTTACATTTCACCCTTATCCTGTAGCAGCATCTGACCCATTGACTCGATGGGTCTGAAATTTTATACTTCCGAGTATTGGAACATAATAACCTTGAATGCAAAATTTCATCCAAATCTAAGATGGTCAGGTGTTAATTTGCCAAATTTTTGGTCGTTTTGTCATGGAATTACCCTGTAGTGGGCTGACAAGAAAGACGACGAGGAGCAGCTGATTTGGAATGACATCACACTTCCCCTTTTCCCCCCACATCCACGGCACTCCCGACTCTTGTGTGCCGCTCGCATCTCAATCATTACTTCACCGGCCCCTGTCATATCGGCCCAAGTTCCTTTCTGTATTTAATCCTGATTCTTCAAATCAAATTTCAGATAAAATTTCAATGGTACCTGACTGAGAAGCTTCTGGACTTTCATGAAGCTTCAGGCACCTTATTTCAAATTTCGAGTGGTATTTGGAGGAATGACAGTACACTGACCATAATTTGAATAGTTTATTGACCAAATTAAAAAAAAGCCTTGAATAAGCCAAATATTGACCAAGCAGCAATGAACGAAACCAAGCAAACTGCAATATTTGTAATAATGTTCAACAGCTCTTTTTTTTCCGCCTGGATCCACCATCTTGAGAGAGTTTCCACACCTGTGCCTTTTCCTTTTGCAATTGAAATCAACTCCGAGCTTCAGGATGTTCAGCCATAATCCATCATCCAGTGAAAACCTGTATGGGAAAATTATGCCTAGGGTGACAACTACACAGTGGTTGAACTGCTCAGAAAGGTCCTGAAAGTGCTGGTCACCATTGATGTGAGCTTCTGATGGACTAGAACAGGTTATCTGATCCCACTGAACCTTCAACTATATCTATTTTCTTCTCTGAGCAGTCCTGCTGGTTCTGATCACCTTGAAGATCAAACGTGCTATGGCAGCCTGATGGTAACTTTTTTTTAATTATCAAATTCTTTGCCAAACTGGCAAGCGAGTGCAACTGTCAAACATGAACATCATAATCAAAAGTGACTAATGATTGTTGGCATGTCTCTTTTTTTTCCTAAAATTAGAAAGTATTTTAGGTGTATTGGATAATGTGCTACAGTAAATTATAATAATACTGAAAAGGTTCATATTACAAAAAAGTGGAGAACTTATTTTTGTCTGCAACACAAACTTCAGTAAGATTATAGCATGAAAATACTGATAAATGGGAGACGGAGGGGGGAAGGGGAGACGCAAGGGGAGAGGGGGGAGAGGGAGGACTGGTATTACAGTATAAGGGTGTGATCAACCATAAGTGGGCAGGATTGCACATCGCACATGCCTGCAGCAATGAGTCAGGGTTAGATGGGACTAGCTGGCAGTCTGGCTCATGGTCTCCACCTATAACCATTTCAGATGGATTGTTTCAGGAACCATGCACCCTCCTACCACCTAAAAAAAAATGTTCACATGGTGAAAATGACTTTTCCAAACTATGACAGAGAAATCTGCATTCATGTAATAAAAGTTTAGCTGATTTGAAGCAATTATCTAAATTTAATTTTCTTCATTCAATTCAAAAATGATACTGATGAAAAAAAAATTTTTCAGTTTCTTACTCAGGATGCTGCTCTTGCCAATGAAGTTCAGCAATAAAAATGTCCACATGTGGTATTCTGATAAGAAGCACATAATAGAGGTAGATGTGAAGTCGCTCTAACCTAGAAAAGTACACCACATGGGGGGATCAAAATTTTCTAAGTCTGAGGCACTTTTAGTCTCTATACACCTTCTTTTACTTCGACCATTAGAAGACACATGTGTTTGATGATGACCGGCAAATTTTCATCAAATTTTTCAATTAAAGAAAGCTTACATGTCTTTCAATGTGCCACCAAAGGGTCTACTGAAGGGGTATTAAAGGTGACATGAATGCCGTCATGAATTTTCTAGCTTCTAAGGAGTCTACCTCCCAGCAGATCTTCCAGCAGGTAAGAGGATAGAGAACTACTGATACTTCTACAAAAGATCTGCTTGGAGATCAACTCCTTAGAAGCTAGAAAATTCATCACAGCATTCATGTTATTTTTCATACCCCTTCAGCAGACCCTTTGGTAGCACATTTTACAAAATTCATAGAAGTTATCTTTCATTTACTAATTTAAAATTTTGCCAGTCACCATCAAATACATGTGTCTTCTCATGATCAAAGTAAAAAAGGTGCAGAGACTGAAAGTGCCTCAGACCTAGAACTTTTTTTATCGCCCCAGTAAGTGGATTAAATCCCCAGATGTGATTTAGTTGCTGAGCTGCACCAACTATTGACCTACCTGCATTTTTAGTAGGGGAAACCTATCTAGGATGAAAGAAAAATTAAAATCTGGTCCACACTTCAGGGCACTTTGCAAAATATAAGGGGAAAGGAATGAGGACCGCATCATTTACCAGACCAAGTAGGGATGGACACAGCCTTCTGTTTGAGGCAGCAGAATAACCCTGCAGCCTTCTTGCTGAACAATTCCCCAAGATAACCTGCCCAACTGAGTAGCTTCACCTTGCTGATAGGCCTTTGGAAGGAGTCACACCTATAGACCATTGAAATTTGCAAGGAATTGGCAGATAAACATGCCTTTAGGAGAGTCACACAAAAGACATTTACAGAGGGTGTAACAGTTACTGAGCTACTGAGACACATACAATAAAACACCATATATAGGGGATGGTGCACTAAATACGATCCTTGCACTGTTTAGATTCTATATTTATAATAATCAGTTTCACACCATCCTCCAGCAAAATCTGAGCCCATTTATGTGCAATGTAATATGTACACATAGGTTAAAACGAAAGATGGCACTCAGAAATGGAAGTTTAAAGAACTTTCAGGAGAAATGGAAAGTTTTCAGTGCATACCTGAGCAATTAATGAGATCAAAAATCGCTTTGTTATGTTATCACAAGATTTCCTTATGCACTTGTAATTTTCTGTTTATATTGCTCTTTTCTCCTTCCCCCCCCCCCCTTCTACATATATCCTTTAATTTTTAATCCTTCTTCTCTTCCTTATTTCTCAGTATTCATGTTCGCTTCTCTGCACCATTCTGGTTACTTTCTTCCAATAGCTGATCTTTGAATTTGCCTGATCAAATAAAGATGATACAAAAAAATGAATCTCAAATGAGACACCAAGACTCAGTAATTATTTGCAATATATCTTCAATGTACAATTATTCTTGACAGAAACCCCAATCTTCAAGTCTACTATACAATTCAATTGGACAGATATGGTTCCACTCCTCTTTCAGCATAAGCCTTAATCTATTCAGGTCGCTTGATTTCATATTTGAACACTTACTTCCAATAGACTCCACACTCTATTGGATTTAAGTCAGAGTTGCAAGGGGCCATTTCATGTTGGATGGATGGATAGATGGATGGATTTATTTTCTTTGATTCAGCATCAATATAGAAAAATAAATGAATAGTCAATAAATGTTTTTGTTAATTTCTGCAACATGGTTTGCCAGACAAGCTTATGAGGATCAAGCCATGTGATTTAGAGGAGTTCTGTTGAAGAACATGTAATTGGCCACCAAAGATACACTGACATAAAGATATCACACTTTTCCTCTTTGCTTTTACTGAGCACGCAGAAACATGAAAGTAATATGTGGTATGAATATTTATGGCCCACCCTATATATTAATATCCCTATACCCATATATTTTCCAAGTCAAATATGGAAATATAAAAAATTCAAATGCAACAAGGAAATTCAAATTCCATCACAGCTTCATGGGAGCATTGAAAGCAACACAAGAAAAATCATGTGTGTTGATGATGAGTTTGATGATATGTTTCTAAAGAGAAGCACATTAGGCATAATTCAAATATGACAGCTGCATATCACACCCATACCCATTTTTTCTAAAGACTTCTTCTTGCTAACAAGTTCTATGTACAAATTCCAAATCATATCCAAATGCATTTGGATATGACTACAGTCAGTCCAATTGGATACCTTTGAAGATAGATCAAAAAGAATGAAAACTACCAATTACAAGAAAAGATTTTCCAAGCTCAATATTGATGAAAAGTATGAAAGTCAAGTGTGAAATGGAAATTCAAATTCAACACTGCCCTGCACTGCTGCTGTCAAAGGCAATATAAGTAAAATGTGACTGGCCTGTCAGATGCCACATTTTCAAGATAGGTATATCTGACAAAATGAAAATCAAATGTGCCTTCCCCATGCCATGTAGCCAATGGCTTAGCTTATATCATGTCATTCAATTCCAAAAACACACAGGGATGCGTAACTGTGCATTCAGGAACCATTGGCTACATTTTCCAGGGGTGATGATGGTAATGGCTCCAAATCCCTATTGCTGCAAATCCTACCATTATGCTGTGGTTATTCTGGCAGAAACAAGCACCACAGTTTTGCAACAGTCAAAAATTCAATCTGGAGCCAGTTTGGATTCCAGACTAGATGTAACTGATCTGGGCTGGACATAGTTGGTTTTGAACTGAATGAGTCTTCCAGCTGGATGTGCAGGATTCTCTTGGTGAATATTCTCTCCATTTCATTAGGCAGGAAAATATGAGCAGGATTACAGAGTCTGATTATGATCAGAAATGAAAGTTTTTTACTAAAAAAAAGTTTGTAATATGCAAAAAAAAACTATTTTTTGTGCAAAAACAACAGAGTTAAAGTTTTGAATTTCCAATCATATCTAAACTGATTCCTCTGTTATGTTACTCATGTCTTTATCCTGTATGCAGGGGAATCTTCTAATGAAAATATTCAATACCAGATGACAAAATCATCTCTACTAATGAAAATTAACATATAAAGGTTCTTTAACCCCTTTGCTACCAAATTGTTCACATCGATTTCTACCTCAAACTAACAATTTTTTGTGCATCAATAACATAATTAGTACATGTCTTTTCCATTATACAGGGTGTGGCAGAAACACCTGACTGTTTTTTAATTGTAATAACAAATGACTGATAGCAAATATATTTTAGTGATATATTTTTTAATTCTCCATGCATTGGAGAGTACAGTTTTCCATACCTCAAATCATTTTGGAGATGATGTCCTGCAAATGGGCTCCTTCGCAGTCAATGCATTCTCCTGCACATGTGAGTAGAGTGGTCATTGTAGGTTAGACCATGACAGTCAATGCTGAGTGCTACAAGAATATGTTAAAAACCTTCCTTAACAATAAATTGCAGTATCTTGGATAACCTACATTATGGTTCCAACAGGATAGAGCCACTGCCCACACAGCATGAATCAGCTTGGATGTTGTCTGCAAAATGTTTCCGCAGCACCTTATTTCTCACTTTGGGAACCTGAACTGGCTTCCCCACTCACCAGACCTGGCAAAGCCTCATTTTTTCTTGTGGGGCTATTTAAGGAACAAGGTATGTGTTTCACCTGGCCAGTATCAAATGATCCCAAGGAAGGATAGTACAGTGTTTTCCACTTGAGTCAGACATTTTTTCACTTAACTTCAACACTCATGCATGAGGAACATCCCATGGACATCTGTCCAAGTCAAGTGAAATATTCTCTGACTCAAGTGAAAAGCACAGTAGCAGGTACTCGCCAGGAAATTCTAAACATCCCCCATGACTTGCTGCACAGCGTCATGGCATCCATGTCTACATGCACAGGAGAATGTATTGCCTGCAAAGGAGCCCATCAACAGGATGTCCTCCAAAAATAATTTGAGGTATGAAAAAATGTCATAAAGGTAGCACTGAATATTTGCCTATGTGACAAAACTTTGTCATCAATGGTAGTAAAGGGATTGAGAGGTCAAAACAAAAACATCTGAATTTCTGAATTCTTGAGATGAATTTCTTAGCTCACAGTCCAGGGCATTTTCTTTTTGGCTTCACCTGGAATCAACACGATCCATCCTGGATCCTGGTAGTCCACCTAGTATTATCTACTACTATCCAATCTAGACCCAGTCCAGATTGGATAGATACATATGACGTGTAAACTGCCATGCTCAGGACTCCTCAACACCTATGGATATCAGATGCATATCTGTCCTCACTCACTAAACAACCTCAACCAAAGGAAGAAATTTCCACATTTCTGATATACCTACAGTATATATTAATTAATAAGGAAGAAATTGATATGCTGATATATTAATTAATTAATACCATGCATTACATCTGGAGAGAAAAATGGCTGGATATAATAGATGTTGATCTGGTCTGGTCCCCAGTAGGATGGGATGGGATGGAATGGGAGTGAAAACCACAAGAGTGGGAATGGGACTGGGAAGACATGGCTTGGTATCAACCAGGAAAGCAAAGGAGAGGCAAATATAACTAGAATGAGCAAGGCAGGACTGTAGAAAGCATAAATCCCCCTAATTACCACCAGTGCAAAAAAGTTTCACGGGGCAGTAATTGTAAACCTAGATAAACTAATCATGGTACTGGAGCAGAGGGGGGGGGGAGTGAATGACATGATGCCTGCTTATCACCATTACTTGTGGGGTCCATGGTGAAGACTTGCCTCATTGCACTAGCAATGCTGTCAACAAAAACCTTGAATGGAATGAAAGAGTAGGACAAGATCTCTTGATCAAGTCATTGGCATGCAAAGTGACCAATAAAGAACTTTACAATGATTTCTTTTTTTCTCTCAACAGGATAGATATTGACTTTTCTATTACTGAGACTCAGCTCTTCTATTAATATAGTGAGTAAAAAGCAACAGCCTATGATTAAAGTTGGATTTTGAGGCTCAAGAGCCAATCTGCTGCACTTGGCATAGCTATGTGGATCACCTGTTACCTCCACTCTGGGAATAAATAGGACACATTTCATTGAAGTGTACAATGGTGTGTATGTCACCATAGTTGCAACTGAGTGAGTCTTTGATCTTTCATTTATGGAAGAGAGACACACCTGCGATGCAGACTGAGGCTCTGGTAATAATTGAGTTTTCTTTCTGGACATCAGGTTGGGAAAAGACATTCCACCGCAATAACAGAATCCAACAGTATTCAGTTTTTGCATGGGTATTTCCAACTGCTCAGGAGTTGGAGAAGACCTGCACTAGTCCAGGAGCATGGAAATCAGTTGCATAACTGGGGCAACAGATTTGCCCAAGGAAAGGGTTCCACTCTCCCTTGACCATTGGAGGTTCAGGATAGTCCACGAGATTGTCATTGATATTGATGTAAAGGCATGGGACTCAGGGAGAAGGGAAAGGTGAAGGAAGCAGCAAAGAAAATGGGGAAAATATACATTCCCAGTCACCAATTTTTTCAGGGTCATGTCCAACTGGGAATGAGATAGCAGGCCTCACTTTGGCAGGAATTATTTCACCCCTGGTGGAGAGGATATGAGGACTAATCTTCCATATCAGAGCCAAAAAAGCAACAGAATGGTGGTTACAATGAAAGAGACACTGGTCATCCCTGACATCACAAGAAATTGAAATCAATGTATATACTGTATATATATATAAAGAATGTGGAAACATCTGAATAACTGGGAAAATTTGAATATTTATTGAGGAGGATCCAGATGCCATCAGATTTGCAGATATCAGAAACTGCTACCACTTCAAGTGATACACAAGTTGCTTTTCCTCAGCCAGACTCTTTAAAGCAGAAACTCTTAAGCCAGAGTCAAACCATATGATATTTAAGCTGGAAGTGACATTCATTGGAGTTGTCCCAATTCTGTATATATATAAAGATGGAAGATGAAACTCATGAAATAAGCTTGACTTAACAACTCGATTATGAATATTTAAATGTGAACTTCTCATCATACACTGAGAGCTCATGATGCAGAGAAGAGGCTGAGAAGAAATCTTTCATGCACTTGTAGTGCCCGCCAGCATTACACAATTGACACTGACTTCACAAGCTCTGAAGGAATCTCTGAGGATACTGTGGAATATGCATCAAATAACTGGAATGAAATGGTAGTAACAGATACCTCACTTCCTCTTTGAGAATTCTGTTGGTAAATGATCAGGTATCTCACAGGGAGAAGTGCTTCCAATGGTCATCACATTCACCCTGCAGCAACACTTGAGTGATTCTGTCTTATTGGATTCAGTGCAAATGATCAATTAAATTTATGGTAAAGAAGTCCTACTTAATAGTATTTATATGATGAAGATCCTTGGATGTAACATGAACCCCACCCTGCACTTCCTCTGTATGAAGTGCCATGGATCAGCACTAGCAAGAAAGGGCACATGCTACAACAATAAGCAGCCAAACCATAGCAGGATAAAATCTGAGACATCCAAAAAAGAATAGGGTACTGCAAACTGCTGGAGGATACTCAAATGAGACATTTCATTAACATCCCATGTGGATGGTGCACTGGTGTTCAACAGATTCACAGCTCCATGCATATGGCCATTTCTTGCAGTAATATATAAATTGCCACCTCGAACAAGAGCGATGAATGTAGTCACAGCTGGCAGTTGGTTTGGTAAGTGTGAGCCTAACATGCAAAGTTTTATGAGTAAGTTTGTGAAACAGATGCAAACTATTTATGCTCACAGCATAAAGTGGCAGAGCAGAGATGGACAAGAAGTAACATCAAAGGTTGCTATCTCTTGCTTTACTGCAGATGCACCAGCAAGAGCCAAAGTGCTTGGCACCACCTAGTTCAATGGATACTTGAGATGCACTTGGGATCTTCACGCTGGAAAGTTTGAAGGAGGTGTGAAGTATCCTGAAACAATTAATATCCATCAACCAAGGACAGATGAATCCTTCCTCAAAGACATGAGCCTAGTTCTAGATATGATAGAACTACTAAAGGATTGAAAGGGAGGTCATCTTCCCTGGATTTCAAGCCATCACAAGAGTATCCAGACTAGATGCACTCATGTCCCTTATGTCCGTGTGTATCGGCCTCAAGTCCGACGGCGAAACGGCGCGATGGCAACGGCAACACCGAGGCCACGTTAAATCAACCCTTCTGCTTCAAGTAAAATAAGCCCCTTCTAACCACACCTTAAAAAAGACCTTCTTTCTCTGCAATACCCAATGAATGTATTGCAGAGAATGACCGCATTTCGTCTTGGGAGAGAAGCTTTCCAACGTTGCTCAAGTCTGGTCGAACGCAAGGTTATCACCTTTTCCTTTAAGGCTCTATGTCAACGATAATGCTCACTATGCAACTCGATGTGAAGCCACCGACGAGATCTAATCCAAGGCGCTCGTCGTACGTCGATTTCGATCCTCTTTCAAGAGTATTTTAAAATGACTCAGTTTCTGTCACGGCAAGGATCCGCGGGGCAGAAAAACGGAAGGAGAACTCACAAACTGCGAAACGTTCCGACGACGAGTATGATCGAAGGAACTCTCGGGAATCGGAGGTCTCGAAGGCCTACAGTTGAAGGCTCCGCGTCATCGTCACACCGATCACAAAACGCAACACACGAACGCCCATCCCAAGACTGCATCCATCGATGATCGCGGGGAGACGCGAAGACCCCTCCGCCGGGAACAGCAGACTCCAGACAGAGAAGAGCGGGCAGACCGAGGCGATGGGTTAGGCCTATTCCACCTTTCTCCTTCTAGCCTATCACATACAAAAATTCGTAATTTGTGCATCCACCCAATCCAGCCAAGCTGAATTTCTCGATCATAATAAGATTTTCCGAGCGTAGAGGCTTCTGTAAGGACCATGCTTGTATTCAAGAGCCGAAAAGTGAGCACCAGAGAGGAAAGAGTTGAGGCGACAAACTCCCAAGTCGATTTCGAGTAGAATTCTCCTTGTTTTTTCCTCAGAGAGCAGCTCTGAACTTCGTTTCCATCGAAAAGGAGTTCCCTCCCCCCAAGGCTCGAGGGCTTGCTTCCGCCTGTGATCATGGGACCTGACTCGGCCACGCAGACGCTCTCTTCATTGACGCATGATTGTACCGCGAGATGGCAGAGCAGGGCAGTTTCCGTCACCTTACCCGTGTGCCGTGCGCAATTGATTTCTCGCTCTCGTGTTCGCTGGGGTTTTTAACTCTATCTCAGAAACTAAAGCCTTTACTTACCCAAGGTCAGATTGTGCCTACGCCTCTCTTCTTCTTTGGACGCAATTCATTACGTAAGCCACATCTCGCCTGAGTGTCGATCCCGACCAATAGAAAGTGCATAATGGAGGGGCCTCCCCTACGGCGCGAGGGGCTACATTCCTCCAGGCGCAGCCGCCATCTTAGGACTGGAGTCACACGTGGGTGTTCATAGCAAGCACATAGAAAGCGAGAGGGCAAAAGAGGCAATTTGCCCCGGGCCTCCACGCTCCCACCCAACCCCAATCGTGCAATTCATTCGCCTGCGAAATTCCAACCCCAAGATGGCGGAGGCACTTTTATCTCTTGAGGCAGCGATGGCCTCACCAGAGACGTCGATATACACTCTATGATCCCAACAACTTCGTGCCATACGGTGTCTTTGGATCGAATTTGGATGTCAGATTCACTTTCAACGTGACGAAATTGAAATGATTCCCACCCCTGTCCTAATCTCAAAACTTCCCTTTTCACCCGAACGCATGAAAACTTTCCTTCGTGCCATGGTATTCCATGTTGTCTTGAGTTGTGCAATAGTAGACGTTAAGTCGTTAATATGAAAAGGAATGAAAATAATGTTACCTGCAGTGCTGTGTCCCATGGCCATTCCCAAGTGAGCATTTTTGGTGGGGACTACGTTGGCCCAATGTGATCCTCCATTGTCGGGACCCGTTGGCCCATCGTTGGCTATCCGCTTAAGCCATAGATAAAATAAATAACTAAAAAAAAAATAATAAATTAAAGCTACTGTTGGACCAAGAAGGGGATCGAAGAAATTATCCACTTAATTCCAATTAAATACTACAGAAGCTCTTGCTTTTTCTACAGATCCGTGAATCTTGCATCAGCATCCGCAGCGGAACGTTTTATCTTCTGAGTGGTTCAGGTCCACGTTGATTTTTGAAGGACCGAACGTCGAACTCCTTGGACAGTTCATCCATCATTTGGCAGAATCAGAATCGTTTCAAAATCGGATCATTAGTCTAGATTGGCCTAACCTTACCTCGTCGATCGGCCTGCAAATTCTGCAGTAGCAATCAAAATGATTGCCGCTGTAAACATTCGCAGCACACGCTGCGCCTCTCTGCCTGCCGTAATTGACAAGCCGTAAAAGCCAATTGACATTGCCGTAACGGACAAAATGGGGAGACGAGACTCTCAACTGCGACGCATGAACCTCGCCGATGCGAGTCGGACATCGCCCACCTCCCTCCTCGCATTCCTTTCGAATCGATCGATGCGAGTTCCCTTAGCCGCTTGATTATGCGCTTCCGCTCCTCGAGGGATCCGAGTTCCCGCGCCGGTGTCATCGTGCTTGCACCTCTTGCAATTCCGTCGCTCCCGTCGACACTGCCACTTCGATTTTAGGCAGCAGCTTTTATATTTATCATGTTTATGCATGGAAAAATTGAGCAATTCTTGAAATTTGGATAAGTGGCAGTCTCGCATCTCGGACGTGTGTATGGGTCCCCTCTTAAGCCAAAACCAGGAACCAAAAATATTTCTGATCGGCTCCCTCTTGCGGGTATCGAAGGGAAAGCCTATCATATTCGCTCTAATAACTTTTGTCAAACAATTCTTTTATCGATGTTCATGCAAAGACTTCATGATCTTTCATGAAAGGATGTTTCGGCCGCGGAGGTTGATGTACCGAAGGTCAAAGTGTTATTGACTCGAAATGAAAATGTTCCATTTGTAAAGAATTTTCCTTAATGGAAAATCGACTTACTTCGAATGGGAGACACCAATCTCAGTAAATATTTGGGCTGTCGCTGATAGATCGATGCATCGATACCACTATCGACGGTTGGAGGTATCGATAGTTTTTCGACCATCGCTATGTATCAAAAGATTTTAAAGGGGAATGTCCCATTGGATTGCGGCGGAAAGGATGAGGCGGCGTGACCCTCATGGGCGAGCAATTTAGCACGATCTAATTCTGGAAATGCTATGAAAAACAGGAAGGGAAAAAAAAGTCGAATCTGAGACAGGAAGTGGGAAAGGAGAGGGAGGGAACACCGAGAATGTTATTTTTTCCTCTTTCAGTCTACGGCTCGATCTCATCAGGTTCATGCTGCGAAAGTGAACTGTTCTTATACTCCCTTCATTTCGAAACGTACAATGGTTAATCCCCTCCCTATATTCCCGTCTTTCTCTTCAGTATACAAGCTTAACTTTTAACATTTATTAACTTGCCCTAAGGCATTTTATCTCTTTACCTAATATGAACTCAAATTGAATTTTTTACACGGTCGTTGCTTATTATTGGCTGTACCGAAGTTTTCGCAACCGCCGGTTTGGCACCATCGCCAGGTGCCGGTGTCCAAAGAAGACCGTGTAGAACGAAGAAAAATAGAAAAAAACATCGTGAACGGGCTTTGCAACCGATTCTAAACGGCAATAAGAAAAAATTAGGCTGTCCTCATGCATCCATCAATGAATGGATGTAATCTTCGATAATTGGAGGCATGGTAGGTTTCATTACTCCTTGCGAAGGTCACACTTACACCCAATCGTGGCGAGAAATATTAAATCCCCCCCCCCCATGCATCGATAAACTATCGATAGTTCAGGTCGATGCATCGATGTTTTGAAAACTGCTATCGTGACAGCCCTAGTAAATATGTATTGGTTATAACTAAGTACGCAACGATATAATTTCGATTTCGGTATCGAAACCGATTTAAACATTTCGATAAATATCTGCGATCCGATATATTGCCCTGCCGATATCGGATTTATGTGTACGAGACGTATACGTAGCATGGAATCCCGTAGCATCAAATTGCGTCACGTCGAAAGCACATAAGACTCGACAAGACAGAGCATCATATGGAGAAAATTCGACCTTGCATGTTTTTACGCAGTCTAATACACGTCGGTTCGAAAAATATCACTGAATCAGAAGCGATTTGCTCTTGGTCACGTAGGACAGAATCTCGTTGCAATTAATCACTTGAGACTAAAGTAGGCGAAATTCAAGTAGTCTCAAAAACGCATGGAATCAGATCACGTAACGTAAAACTCCTGCAGTCAAAAATCACACATCCAAAAAAACTGTCGGTCCATAAGAAGCACAAGGGCTCCAACGCCCTGGGGGAAAACGGGGGTGAGGAGGGGGTGACTGTCTGCATCTGCAATGCCTTGGGAGAAGCCTTGTTTCCCACATGTGTCATCTAGGTTATCATTGTGGAATAATAACTTATAGCGATCACGAAGAGGTGGCGAGGGGTCTCTGAGAGGAGTAGGCAACGAGGGGAGCAACACGTAGCTATTTACAGATATTGCCATGCCCTGCACGGAGCCTCAATTAGCCGTGCCTAATGAACTTTCTGGCCCGTCCCTCTGGAATCGATAAGTCGCTTTCCTTCGTCTGGACGATAAAATAAATCATGAGTACTTCTCGACGAAGTGTAGGTAGATCCCTCATCCAAAGTATTCTCATGAGAGGTTTCGTAAAATCACTTACCGTGTTACTACTCCAGTTGCGCACGATATTGGCCCCATCGTGGCCATTATTGATATATTGGTTTCAGCTTGGCATTGAAACTCTTGTCCCACGATTTCGCAGCTAAATTGGAGCAATATTCCGGTACTATATGAAAATGCGATTAAGGTCGTCATGACGAGAAATGCAATATTGGGAGTGTCCGACTGGTCCAACAGTTGAGCGTTGTGTGCTCAAATTGCAGTAATATTGGAATAAGATTGCTAAGTTGAAACAGTGAAGTTCTCCTCTTCGCCACTAGATAGAGCTGCGGTAGTCTTTTCTCACGTTGCATGAAAGTACCTTTCTCGTTCCCTGAATTCGAACCTCTACTAAGCATACTTGAAAAAACGGACGAAATCATGCAAAAAAAAGGACTTACGTAAGCCCGAAGGAGGGGGGGGGGGGGAAGGAATGGTCGGCGTATGACCTTTCCGTGACCAGCAAATCTTTTCCTTTCCCCATTTCTGCATCTCATCGTTCATACCATCGTACCTGTCCTCCCTCCCCTCCAGTCAAGCACGCTTGACTTCTTCGTTTCTATTTTTTTTTTATTCCACGCCGCGCGAGAAAAATACAACGAAGCAACGGATCGAAACCCCATCCTAGCAGAAAGGGAGACTCAAAAGCAGACCAGGATTGCCCCAGAGAGCCCAGGGCATCCCCTCCTCGTGGAGGAGGACCCGTCGTCGACCCACGGCCACCCAGTACCATCCCAGTGCCATCGGCATGCCAACTTGTGTAGCGCATGGAGCTCGAAACATGGCGAGGTTCGGTCGTTCAGGAGGAATCCTCCTGCGCTGCAGAGCCTCTCATTCCATCGTTGTCGGAATTGAATGTTTCCATCAAGCAAATGATACTCTCCAAAAGAGAGAATCATTTGCTTGGCTCTCAAGGTTATGCAATGACAAACTGAAATCGACCTGCTTGCTGCGATGAAATCGAGAAATCGGGTGAATCCAACCTTAATGTTATATGATAGTGTTCTCAGAAATATTGCTCTAGGAATCGAGTTATAACTTGGTTGATGCATCTTCCAGATCCTCTTCTATTCTCCAGGGAAAAACCATGACTTCTTCCAAAGTTCGACCATACATGGAACTTGCATTATAGAGTTTTCTTGCTTCTCTAATATTTCATGAGGACAGGGAATATCCACTTCTTATATGATGTAGCACGAGTCTCAAAACTTCTTACAGTTGTAATCTTTTGCAAGGAACGTTTTTCTCAAGTTTCAAGTGCTCCTTGGTGTAATTCATAGAATATTTTGCATTCCGCAGCTATTACCTCGAGCCAACAGGTTTGTCAGCAAGATCCATATTTTCTACTTTTTTTTCTGTTGACTAAAATTGCTGGTTTTCACCCTTGGCCCTTCGGTTCGTCGGGAACTCGTTCAGTTGCACGTCGACAGCCTCAAACGGAAGAAAAAGAGGCAAAGACGTTGACCGGTGGTAACAAAGAAAATGTGTATTGCACCCTTTGGCTTCGATACAGACTACAGACGACGAAACAGACAAAGTGAGAGACGGACAGACCGATAACCTTTTCTTATTGCAGGAACTAAATCAGGCCTTTTCCTTCGAGCCATTCGCAGCGGGAATGGGCACCTGGAAATAGAATTGCTCAAATATCTTTGGATGCAATCTACACGACGGGAGACGAATCCCCGAACACACAAAATCTCCACTTTCTCTCTAAAACGTAATCATATAAAAACGGAAGGGACCGTGCAAGCGAGCGGCCGAATGGCCCCATTCACACCGACACACATGTAAAAGCGACTGGATCGATTTTCTCTTTCTAATCACATTCATTGATAAGATCGCTGCCTGAACATGGCCGAGATTTCTTCGATGGTTCTGTTCTTCGTCTCCGGGACATATCTGAAGGTGAAAGCAGCGAAGAAGAAGAGAAGACCCGAGAAGATGAGGAAAACGTACGGCCCCAGCGCAACCTGCGAAACGAGACACCCACGCGTCACCGACGGTCACCGTGGAAATGTCACCATGGAAACGTCGAGATCTCGACGCGAGTGGACTCACGGCCAGAGGCAGGAAGCAGAGTCCGACGATGAAGTTCGCAGCCCAATTGGTGGCGACGGCGATGGAGGTGGCGAGGGGTCTCGCACCTTGAGTGAAGAGCTCGGTAACCAGGAACCAGGGGATGGAGCCGGGACCCGTGGCGAACATAACCACGAATAATATCACCAGCAACACCGACAGATATCTCAGCCACTCTGCGTATTCCTGCGGGGAACGGATCCGGGAAAGAACACTTATCAGAACAGATTGAAGCTTTCCGCAACTATTTCTTCCTGGAAAGATTCAAGGGTTGATGATAGGCTGGAGGACAACAGGACAAGAAGAAAACTAGACATATATTCGTCTCTAGACCAACTTGCAAAAAGATATTGCTTACAATTAACGTGCTGTCCAACCATGTATCGTTGCGACTGTCAAAAAAGTATGCACCAAAATGTTCACTAAAAAAAAAAAACTCATTCTACAACCCCTTAACCCTGACACTAGTCTCATGAATCATGTGTTTGTTTTGCTCTGATCATCCGAGTATAGATCGTGCAAGACGTCTGTTGAGGGTATTAACCTAATCAAAATGACCTTGAACATGAAGAAAACAAAGCAAAAAAAAAGTATATATTTGCAATTGCAGGCATGGAAAATTCAAAGTAATAAATGGAATTTTGTGGAGTGAATGAAAATGTTATACTTCTCACAATGTTTCCATTCCATTGCACGATGGCAGATGCACGTCCTCGAGCGCAAAAGAAATTGACGGCGCATTATGAATATCCTCAGAAGATTGGATTCTATGAGGCAGAAGGCCTCTGCCAACCATCATTCGACAGATGCTTGGTTTCTTTCCTCATTGAAGCCCATCTTAAATTCAATGCATTTTTCAATGTGTCAGTTCGCGATGAGTACCATCCGCTACTGACCTTGAGAGCAAGACAGATGGTAAGGAGGATGGTGCAGACGAACATCCCAATGAGTCCAGTCAGATGCAGGGTCTTCCGTCCAGCCTTTTCAACCAGGATCAGCGAGATGACCGTCATGAACACGTTCATGATGCCCATGCCCAGAGTCGCATATTGCGCCTTCTCTTCGTTCAACCCCGCCGTCTTGAAGATCTCCGTCGAGAAGAAGATTGCCTGCAAAAACACGACGCGAGACTCAGAAGAGACCCCCAGACCCCCGAAGACGACCGACGACCCCCGACACCTACACAATTGATACCGGACAGCTGCTGCGAGAGCATCATCATCAAGGAGATGATGAGCGGGAACCGCAGACTCGTATTGGTGAACATCTCCCACATGTTCGGCTTCGGGATGAGCTTCATGCTCTCGTACTCGTTCCTGATCTCTTCCATCTCCTCGTGCACGTCTATGGAGTTCCGGAGCCAAGCGAGAGAGCGCTGCGCGTCCACGTCCTTACCCTGGATGATCAACATGAATTTCGGACTCTCCGGGCAGAGGGGGAGCGTGACCAGCTGGAAGATCCCCGGCACGACCGTTATGGCCAAGAGCACCGGCCAGCGGTCGGCCGTCCCCAGCAGCGACTGCATCCCGAAGATCTGACTGATGAGAATGGATATCGTGATCACGAGCTGGTACACCGTCCCCACCTGAAAAAAAGACATCCATCTCTCGATATCCCGCAGAAGAACTGCCATCGTGATTCCTTCCCCCATCGAAGACGAGAGACTCACAGCGCCTCTCAAGTGAACGGGCGAGATTTCGGTGAGATACATGGGAGCCAGACCGGCATTGAGGCCCGAATTCAACCCGATGAAGAATCGACCGGCAATGATCATCTCGTAGGAATTGGCCATCTTGGCGAATCCTTCGAGCGCTGCTGCCAACACCGCAAAGAAGTTGTTGAGGAGCAAGCCACCCTTCCTGCAACGAATTTCACGACCGTCAGCCATCAGCCGACCATCAGCCAATCCCGACCAGACCAAGCAAGCCTCGCGTCGAACCGACCTGCCGAACTTATCGGCGATGTATCCGGTGAGGGCGCCACCGATCATCCCGCCGATGCAGAAGATCGAGACGGCCCACGAAAAGATGAGTTTCGTGTTTGCTTCCTCGAGGGGTATCCCCGTTCTCTCGTACGAGGTCGTGTTGATGAAATCCTCCAGCAACTGCAAAAGTCAATTCGTGACAGGTCTGGTAGGGCTTGTCCTGCTTTCGAGAAAGTAAAATCTCATCATGATGACTGGACCGACGAGCCAGAGCCTTTAAAATCACGCACATCAACTTAGTAGCAAATTAGTAACAACAGTTAGGGGAAAACATGTAAACTTTTATATAAGTGAAGAATTTTGCGAGTCGTCAGAAAAGCCAAACAGTTTCGGTATCCACTATGGTACTTGGTCAACTTAACTGACCGCATCGCGGCTAACCAGCCGACTAAAACTACTAGTTGGATGAAATTCAACGGTTTGCAAAACAAACAAAAAAAATTTCAGTCCTATTGTGTCACGAAGTCATACTTCAGAGAGACATGTATCGGTTTCTCTCTAGTTAAAAAAAAAAACCAGGTGGCAAAATAAAAACTAAATTCAGTTTACAAATATGGATTCGCTCAAACCTCTCCTGGTTTGGAAAGCAAGATCATCCCCAGATGATTTCTATAAATGACGCCGCTGCGATCTGTCATGCAATATAAGGGGTTATTCAAATGTCACGCTCCGTGAGGAATAACAAACCTTTTTGTGAAGGATACAGATAGCACCTCGTCATGAAAAAAAAAACCTGGAATGTTGGCAAAAATCCACCGGGAAACAAATCGCAGAAAAGATCTGCGCTTTGCAGTCTGTGTGCAAAGCATAGAGCATTTTCCATGCTGCAGTACGCCGCTTTCCACGTACAGAGAGCGGAGTGGCTTTTTAACGTTAATCGAAACCTCCATGAAACAGATGAAACAAAGCCTCATTTACTATTCGATTGAATTCTCAGCTATCTCCTCTTTTAGGGATCCTCACTCTGATTCATGTGTTTCGTCATTCAGATATGCTTTCACGAAAACCGCGCGCTCTCCCAGTGAGAGAACTCGAAGATCCGGGTGCCTTCGAAAATTCCTTTCGTTCCTACATACGCGATTCCCCGGCACAGCCGGCGCTAGGCTCTCGAGTGCAATCTCTTCATCCTCATCGCAACCTCTAACCCTCGACGATTTCATAGCCTGGGGTTGCATTTGTAGAATGAAACACGAGTAGACAGAGACTGATGTGAACTCCCTGGCTCTCTCGAATGGAAGCGAAGATGTGGGCCGTATTTTCTCATTTGTGTGTTATTTATCTCTTAGCAATGAGTTAAGCTGATGTTTGCCTCATTCAAATGCATGACCGACGTCGATCGAGTTTCTAAGAATAAGTCTAATAGAATCAGGCCGGAGTCTCAACTCTCCCAGGAGAAACAGTTCAAATAAAGCTCTCGATTAGAATACAGTATCTTCTGACTTTTCTTTCAAAGGTCTATTCCTGTCCGTCCAGATCAGTGTAACCATGCAACTGGCAAGTTTATTATTCGACAGAAGTGTCTTGGGACATCCGTTAGGGCTGCCGGAGGATTGCGAGGACATGCTTAATGTCAAGCGAGTGAATGGCATGAGCTCGAGGCTCGGGATGCGGGTGCGAGATGCAGTAATGACTCCATATAGCGTCATCATGGAGAGGCCGATGACACCCTGCTGCTAGATTAGGGGAGAATGGGGAAGGGGGCAACGGGAACTGGGTTAGTTCCCCGGGAGGGGGGAGGCGGATGGACGGAATGAGGTCTTCTCGTTTCATGATGCAAGCACCGAGGGAGGTTTCATCTTCCTCCGTGGGGACGGGGGGCGAGAGGTAAAAGGGATCTGGGGTTGGAATGAATACAGTGGGGCGAAAATCTTTTTACTTTTTTTCCTGACTTCCATTGACGCAGGCAGCGAGAGGCACGAGGATATTCTTTGGCTCCTAGCCAACAGCGTCACATCATTCGGGGTGAACATAATTGCCTATAGCTATGTGCCCTGTCTTCCTCGCATGGGCAGCCGAAGAACGCAGACGGAATCAATCACTAGCTTTGCCTCATCTCGAATTATTTTTATTTTTGGCCAAGCCCAAGAAAATAGCAGGAAAAACGAGGGAACGTCCTATCAATAGCAGTCGTGTGCGTAGGTGGAAGATCGATGAGACCGAGACTACTTACGTCATGGCTCTACGCCCGCAGAGCGCACCAATGGGAGAATTCGACGGCGATGACGTCATCGCCGCGCCCCCACATCAGGTCACGTGTCGTTTTAGGTCAACGAACAGAGGCGTTCCCGGCCGCGCCTGCGCGAGGTGCCTCCACCTAGTTTCCTTCCCTTAACCTTCATCCTTCCTTCCGGTCTCTTCCTGGCTGGCTGACGCAAAAATCTATCGATCTCCTTCCCTTCGACCTCCGCGTGACATTGAGAACCTACGCTAGCGTACACGCCCGCTCAAACGACGCGTCATCGCGATCCCACCCGTGGCATCGACCGAATGGCCCGGATTCCATACCGCCTCCGCGTTCCGTCGCTCCCTAAACAGACTGGAAATATCGTTTACTATAAATACGGGGATGATGCAAGGCGTTGGTTCAGTTTCCTCACGCCTTTCTGACTGCAGGTCTCCCGTGACCAATCGCAGGCTGCAGATTATTCTCGGTCGAGAATTCGAGTCTGAAGTTTCGAGTTGGTTCGTATCAGACTACCTCGAAGCGTATTTGAGAAGCTTTGGAATGAGAATAGAAAATAAAGCTCGGATAGGGTAGGTCTCAGATACGCAACCACATCTCCGGATCAGATGCGAGGCAAATAAATTTGCATACGACGAATTTTGCATAAGACGTAAAAAAAAAAGAATTGAGTTCTTTTGGATTTTTTTTCGGTGAGTTCGATCCCCTAGACAAGTTGTAAAATCGAGACAGATCCGATCCAAACCTTTCCCCATTCCTTAACGAAACCGACCGAAATCAGCTTTGAGGCAGTTGGATCCCATCCGAATCCGAAAAGACAAGTCCTTCGCGTAATTCTAGGCTCACTTCCAGGAATAACACGTTCAAAGAGAATGATGAAGTGGAACTTCATGCCATTCATGCCTGAATGGATAACATCCAGCATATAAAAAACTGGGGCGGGGCGGGGCGGGGAGGGAACAAAAGGGGAAAATGATCCTTGAAGGTGCAATGAAGGGGCTTTATGAAACCCTGAGACATGCACGAAATCGGCTCGGGTTACAGCTAGTCGGCGAAAAAAAACTCCTCGGCGCACATGCAGATATGCGCTATCCGTTGTAGAAGATATTAGATACGGTACAGAAGTAGAAGGACTTTCATGAACTCAGGATCACGATCCACAGACTCCAGAAAAAATGGAAATCCCGAAATTTGATCATTTATTTTTCTGGCAACGACGAACCGAGTACGTCTACCCTGTATCTCGCCGAAAGCAAAGACCCACATACATCTAGTGCATGGCCACCGCTTCACCCGTCGATAAGGTGTCGGGTCCCCCTTGGCCCGAACCCGGTCCAGCCAGGAAGGTTACCGGCGCGTCCACGTCTCTTAAGGTGCCCATCGTCCAAAAAAAAATTACTCTTACTGCGGGACGGGTTCGAGAGTTTTGCTGCAGCACGACCGGACGTTCCCGTCGAATGCAAGAATTCCCATCCGACGCCATTCCCCGTTAGAGCGCAGTCGGCTCCTGCCTTGCTGCCACCATGCTGTTGAATCCAGATCATGAACAGGCCTTATATACCAGCTGCGGGCAGTCACGTGACTCCCGAGGCCCAGGGTGAAGTTACATCACGTCAATCACCGTTCGTACGGGTGGGCCTTTCCTTTTGCAACATGGCGTGAGAAGGATCCATGGATGCCCTTGCCCTGCAATGGTTCTCAAACTTCATTTTATTCCCATCGAACCCTCATGCGTTTTGGGGGTCGCGACCCCCAGTTTGAGAACCGCTGCGGGCCTGATAGAAACTGCGCAGTTAATCATTTGGATTCCGTGAATCATTAAAATACAGTTCTTTTTCGCTTCGCTCGTCTAGTTCTCACACGAACACGAAAAGGAAGAATCCGAAGCTTGTCGACACGAAAATCGATTACCTTCGAAAAAGTAAATGTATCTAAGATTTTTTGGAACTTCCCAAACCGCTCCCCACCGCAAGAGCCTCTCTTCTCGCATTTCTCATTCCGTCTTGAAAGAGCGAATGCCCGTGAAACCACGCTTAGCATGTAACAGGGTCGACAGCGGTCACAATCAACAGGCAAGGAAAGAATTTCAAGAGGGAATGCCTCTCTCATCATAAATGAGAAATGACGGCTTCTCCGCCCTCCATCGCCTCCAGTGCAAACCACGAGGCCGTGGTTACTCTCTGGGAAGCGTGCTCGCGGTGCTTTCAAATTCGTCCTCGATCGTTACTTGACGCGACTCTGTTTATTGTCCTTGTTCCCAGACGAGGATTCCAGAAGCTCTGCACACTCCATGCGCCACGGGTGCATCAAATATATATTTTTTCCTGTCTCATACGACGGGTGCATCCATTCCTTCCCTCGCAGCCCCGACGAACGCACGAAAGAATCGAATGATCGAAAACGCAAGAAAAAAAAAGGGCAAGGAAACGGGAGAGAGCGTGAAGGGTGGCCTTGACATCCCGCTCTGAACTATCTTAAATGACAGGCACACATGGCAAACCCCAGCGCACTCGTTCCGCCCTCCCTTACGCAAGCACCACGCCGTCACGAATTCCCCCGATCGATGAACGGGTGAAAGTAAAGCGGACTCACTGCCTGCGGTGCGTTGACCACTCCGGTGTTGTATCCATGCTGGAAGGCGGAGCCCAGCGCCGCTGCCGCGATCGCGTACGACAGGCGCCCGTTCAGCCCCTGTAAACAACCAATACATACATTTTTTAAAGTGTTTTTTTTTTATTATTTAAATATATTTCAATTGTAATATCCCAAATCGGTTAAATGTTGCAGATCTTCCTAGACGGTCTTCGGGCTCCCCGAGCACTGTCATCATCGGGACTTACCGGGAGAAGATGAGGCATGGCACTGCTAAGCTACGAGTAGCGGAAATAAATACAAAGGGATGGGGTGGTCGCTGCTGGGACCTGCCACTGACACTGAGGGAAAGGTGTCGGTCTAGTCTGAATCCCTCCGACACCCAGTCAAGCTCCAGGGGGGGGGGGGGAAAGAGGGGGAAAAAGAGAGAAGGAAAATAAAATAGGAAAAACCAGGCTCTGTTCTTTTTTTTCTTTTTTTTTTTTAATGTCTGATATCCATGTCCTTCCTTCTGATCCTCGTAAGCCATCGCTACAAACGCCAGAGGGAAGATCTGTTGATCTCATATGATACTCATTATCTCCTAAACCCACACAAGCTGGGATTATTTCCGACCGAATAATGACGGGGGGTGGAGAAAAGATGATTCCAGATGTCATGACGTTGGACGTCCTATCGATCGAGGATTGGGGGTGATCAATCATCCTCAGCCTCGAAATGAGAAAGCTCTCACTAATAAACGAAGCCCTCATCACAACACGAAGTCCTCATGGTAAATGAAACCATCACCGTCACACCCTTCTTCGCCGACGGTAATGAAGAAAGAATGAAGGAAACCCCGCGGGGAAGGGAACCGGCACAGTACCGCAGCGGCATTCTTGGGGGACAGGCGACTCTTCTGAATCGTCTGGGATGACTCACTTTTTTTTCCCGCCACGTACCTTTAACTGTGCGGTGACGGTGGGTTTGTCCTCCACCATTCTGGCTTCGGGGGAGGTCGTGTCTTGGTGGTTGTCTTGGTGGTTGTCTTGGTGGTTGTCTTGGTGGTTGTCTTGGTGGCTGTCCTGGTGGTTGTCCTGGTGGAGCTTGTCGGCGGGGGACTCGGCGTCACTCATGACGAGACGGGGGGATGCTGGTCTTATTAGGGCCTATCTCATCGAGGGGGGGGGAGGGAGAGGCTTCACATGCAACGCATACACAACAACAGCTCCCTCTGATGAAGAGAGATGATTGGTGAAGGACGAATTAGAGTCGAGTCGACGACGAGAATCCTCCCTCGTCTCACACACGGAGCCGGGAGTTCTCGACCCGCATCACGACGACTTGCAGAATGGATCGGCCTCCCCGCTCCCATAGCGGGGCTATACGTCGTATGGAAAGGGGGAGCCCGAGGGGAAATCGATACGGGGGCCGGCCGCGGTCCATAAGAGGACATTGCGCCGCGCATCTTCGATTTTCGCCTGCGCATATTAGATTCTCGAGTTTCCTCGTTCCACTACGTTTCCTCGTTCGTCAATGGATGGTCTACGACGAGATTCGGCAAGACGGTCGTCTCGGTGCTCGGTCATAAATCACCCGGAGAATGAATTCTGCCATAAGAACAAGGCTTCTACGATAGTCTCGAAGCGAATAAAACTCCAGGAACCGTGTGCGGTCTATTCCTTACGATGCAATGTGGGGGTGGCGTTTCAAGCCTCCGAAAATCCTAGATTTTCGGAGATAGATAGAAAATCCTAGAGGAGAAGATTCCTTCTCCTCTAGGGATGCTTTCAAGTCCATATTCAGGCTCTGATCCAGGAAATTCCGAATGAAAGATCAGTGGTCATCCAAACCAACTCATCCCAGTCTCATGCCTAATATTGCCCTCCTCGGTTATGAGGAAAATAGAAGCCATAAAACTTGGCACGTTTGCAAGCCGGTCGGGTATTTGGAGGTTACACCTATCTGTGAATTCCAAATTCGAAATGTTTCGTGAAATTCTTCGGAGAAAATGCAAATTGATGTTCTGCTCGCGGCATAAACGAGGAAAAGCGTGACTCAGGACACGTATCAAATCGAGAAAAGTTAATTTGTAACTTAGTATTTTCTGGAAACTTAAGGGAATCCAATTCTCCCACCCCTCTCCCCTTTTCGCAGTCCTCGGCACGTCCGAATCCCAAAATTCATGCAGCAATTTATCGGTACGGAGAGGTGCCGTGGACTTCCATTCCCATCTCGGCTCGATATGACTAAAATGGATGCCGGTGGGGGTCGGACTAAGATTGCCATCTATGGGCGGGGAACGGATGCACGGAGCAGAGCCTTCAACCCTTGTTGGTTCATGGGGAAAATAATCTCTCGTATCTTGCTTCGTGTGAGACGGACGGTGGAATAAATATTTTCCACCGGAGCGAATGAGTGGTGCATATGTCCTTCAGCCGTTATTGCACAGGTCTAGGTTGAACCTTTTCCCCAAAAATGTTTGCAAGAAGTAAAACACTAAGGGTGGATTTTTGAACAGAGCATTATCCGATAATGCAGCTTTATTTACCGGATTTATAATGCATAGATTTATAATGCATTTTCTCTGAAATAAAGCTGCATTATCGGATAGTGCTCTGTTCAAAAATCCACCCTAAGGAGTCTGCAAATAAAATATGAGAATTTTTCATGAACTTCGAGTATTTTGTCCTATAATGGGCTTAAGTCTCTCCGCGTAACTAAGGACTCTCAGCTGGAATGAAGGATCTATCGGCGTTTGCGTGCCGGTACCGTTCGAAGTCAAGGTGAATTTATACGGAGCGGAAAGGGGAGCGGGAAACGTAAAACGGAAACCAGCGGTTACCGCCAGCACAAAGTGGAAACCGTTGGCTGGAGACGGAAGAAGCGGAGCTTCCGTCGGCGACAAAAATGACCGTCCGTCGGTGAACCGGTCGAGTCGGATCTCTGGAGATCGACTGAACTGGAAATGGGACTTGGAGAATCGTAGAAGTACTGAGTCATCCGCTCCTGTGCGACGCGAGATGCAAAGAGTACAGGGACAAGGTAATAACTGTTACATAAGATTCTGAAGGAAAATATCGGGAAAAGTTTGAATGCTCGGGTGACTCCAGATAACTTTTCGCAGCATGTAACTCCAATCGTTCTGTCCGACTCCACCAAAGTCGGGTACCATGCCTCATTTGAAATCTCAATTTTTACTGATAAACAGCTTACAATGCCTTAAGAGGCCTAGTTTGCATTTCATATCCCTCCGGTACGATAATCTTGTACCTCTCCAGCTCGAAACGCGATCGCTTGGTATAAATTACCTTCCATCCGGCGAAAGCGACGGCGGAAAGCGGGAATTTCCGCTCTCACGTTTCACGAACTTCCGCCATTCGCTTTTCGTGCTGTCTTCCGCTCTGTACGAATCCACCTTTATGATACACCGAGGCGATTGCACTATTGCACACTCCAGCATTTTTTCGCACCGTGTCGATATCACAATTCCAGAATGATTAACGAATTTGATAATAAACAGTTAACTGTAACGAGCACGAATCTGCACGCAAAGACATAACTAATGGATCTGAGCGAAGTTTCCCGGTTGCTGAGCAAGATCTTTTCGGAATATAAGCTTGAGCAATGCTGGAAATTCCAAATTTCCGTTCCAGAGAGCATCGTGGAAATTTCCCGCCTTTTTATTTTTTCAGAAAAATGTGCCTCCAGGCAGCAACAAGCATCTGCACGTTCAGACGGCAGAAAGTCGAATGCGGAAAGTGAAATGTCACGCAGGAATTCGAATGCGTCCGGCCTTCCGATGTAAAATTACAAGCGTGAAGAGTTTTCGTGGAAGTTCAAAAGCAGCATGAGACCATCAGAATTCGAGGAGACACGAGAACCCGCGAGGAATGGAACGCCCCTGCGCCTCGCATGCCATCTCGTTCTTAAATGCGGAGACTCCGGTCGATCGACGATGATCGGTGCATCGAAGAAGTCAGTCCTTGCCAAATATATATAGCCATAAATAAATAAAAGCGTCCGAAAAACGCGAGGGATCCCAGACCCCCTTCGCTTTCCGCGAAACCGTTCCGTTCCGATCGGTCTGTTCCGCGAAACGGCATACACATCGTGAAGGCGAACCCGACCGAGTCATGTCCGAATGAATCCTTCGATTTCGTCGACGGCTGCTGTCAGTTTTGGAAAAGTTGGCGAAGGCCCCCCTCCCCCTCCATACTCGCACCGTTCCGATGGGACCAACCCTGACAGCGATCATCGATACCGTTGGCATCTAAACTGGGGAAACAGTCTTCATGACGTGACGCGTAGAAGGGTGCCAACGAGATCGATTCCGATGAGTTTTTCTCGAAAGCCTCTCATTTTTTGTTTCCTCATGTGGAGGGGAAGAAATTTGGAACTTTCACGTGGCATTAGAAATTCACGTCTCTTTATTCGACTCGTCGACCTTCCGAGGTTGAAAAATAAAATTCGCGCCGGCAATTACAGGTTCTGCTTAACAGCGATTGTTTATTGAGCCAAAACATCGGCAAAATTATTTTTAAAAGACAGATTGCGGTAACCAGAATCTCATAGTCGGAAAACGCAGTATGAAATCTGGAATAGATTTAGCTCTAGAACTGGAGGGCAAAGCGAGTTTTTTTTTTTTAAAGAAAATATCAAATCATCAATCACAGCGGATAAAGCAAGAGAAACCAAACACGCAGAAGAAGCTCTCGCGGCCGACCGGTCGCCTGCTCCGTCGAGTGCCTCCTCGTATCCTCTTTGGAAATCGTGCCATTGAACATGTCGTTGAACTCGGTTACACACTCGCTTTGGAGCTGGCATGTGAAGATACGGGCCGGCTCGGGAGGCCATTAATTTTCTACCAGAGAGGCTCGAACGCTTCGCTCGCATGCATCTGCGGAAGGAGTCGACACATGTGGCGTGGCGTCGTCATCCCGTTTGATATCGGCAGCTGGATTGCATTCCCATCCCGGGAGTTCCGACTCGTTCACGTCACGGTCGTGGGGGGGATTCCGTTTTGTTTCCCTCGAGAGGGGAAGATTTTCTGTCGAGTAACTGCCGAGTCGGTCCCGAGAACACGGAAACTCGCGGCACTGTCGGATACATTGGAAAAATCACGACTCGACCTTCATTTAAAAAAACCTAATAATTTACACTTGACGTGCTCTTTGCTGGCTTGACATGTTATTGACTCGTGGAAATGGTCATATATTATGGGAGAGGACAACCTCCAAACACACAGGATGTTTAAAAAACCGACAATGTTAAGAGCTCATCCGGAGAGAGACGGCGTTATGACAAACAACACGATTCCTCATCCCCTCACTGTTATGACAGCACTGTTATGGCAGCACTGTCTTGAGCCGGGCTCGTCCGTGAGCCTCTGCTTCGAGTGGGAGCTTGGAGCTTGGCTGGACGCGAGGGTGGGGTGTGGAGGGGAGGGGGCTTGATTAGTGGATGGTAATATCTGTTCCAGATTTGTGATCGGGAATACCAATGAGAGGCTTTTCTTCATTTGGGCGGTGAGAGGGTTTAGAAACACCAGGATTTAAAAGCTCCTACGAAGTCTAATACCTTTTCGATATGGGTTGACCAAGTCCTTGAAACTGCCGACTGCTGCAGACAACAGCGATATTCTTATGAGTAGTAATGCTGACGATTTTGATATCGGCTCATGTGTCTCATTTTAATACCGAGGAAGAGTAGGGGACATGCATTCTAATACGAAAAGGAATAAAAGCAGTCTTACCTCATGGGGAGGATATTGGATATACAAGCCAAAGAGATTGCCACAAACATATTTCATTCCTGTTCGGCTCCGCGAAGATTCGCAACGGTAGTGCTTTCGCTTGGAATTCAGGCCACAGAAATGCTAATTCAACGGCTCGAGTCTTCCAAATGCTCATAGTAATGTCATGGAAGGTGCTGAGGCGGTACGACTCAGAAAAAAAACCACTGTACTGCCAAATTCATCTTCAGGAAATCGTAAATGAATTCACGACACTTTTAAAATTGTGCATTTTCAACCCTGCAGTAGTCGCGAGGGGTATTTTATTTCCGACCCCGCCATTACGACCGCCACATGAGCATGTATTTGTTTGCTTGAGATTGATCGCTTCAGTATCTTTCGAAAATAACTATGCGAGAGTCTCTTGTATGGCACTAACATGCAGCAGAACATACAGGTGAAAAATTTGGCCGGATTTTGATTTTATTTTGATTTTCCAAACATCGCTCGGAAATATACAGTATTCCCCGTTGCGACTACTGGAGAGTTAAAAGCACACACGAGGCCAACGGAGCCGAAGTTATGAATTCATTTTCGTTAGTGAAGACCATCCAGGCATTAGGGAGCGGGCGGAACCCTTGAGAATCCATGACAGGTGACAACTTCAGTCTCAAGAATATGATAAATGAGCTTGAAGATGGGAAAATCGCCGAACGTCGTAACGAAAGCGGTGCCGGCCGTTCGCTCCCGCGGGACCTCGGCGGGTCGAAAGAGACCTCACCGCGATCCCGCGGGACGATGAAGACCGGACGCATTGCGATCCCGTGGGACCTCGGCGGGTCGAGAAAGGCCTCACCGCGATCCCGCGGGACGAGAAAGAACGAGACTCACCGCGACCCCGCGGGGTTTCTCGTAGACGAGCGCAGCGGTGAGATCCTCCTGGGACCCGCCCAGAGACGGGGTCTTGCTCTTCGACCGACCGTCCCCGTCGTTGTCCAGGACCTGCAGGTGCTGGCCGACGGTTACCATCGGCTTCATCTCGCTGTAAGACACCGTCACTCTGTCCTTGTGGTGGTCCATCTTGCGAACCGACTGAGGCTGAGGAGGGAGCGGCGTGAGAATAAATTTAGAGGGCCGAAGCAAGGATCGAGGATCCTGCCAAACTCGCGGAGATAAAAATATCTTCCCCCGACGCACTCCCACTCCAGTGCTTTCGGTCCTTCCACGCAAAATCCGCCGGTGCCCCTCGTGACCCGAGATTCTCGACGCGATATTTGCGGCCTCCTTTGCCTCCCGAGACGTCACCGTTTGTTTCTTCCTTCCGGAAGGGCATATTCGAATTTGGGGAACTGGCTGACGTCAAGATGACGCTTGATAGGTCTCGTGCTTCTGAAGCACGAGCCTTTTTCAGCGTAATGCCTTCGGGTTCGCTTCTTCTCCGACGAAGAATCCCTGAATATGTCTCGTCTGATATTTCTCTGTTATGGGAGGCGTTTGTCCGTTCTTCGAGCGAAATATGCCGACTTTGGCGGATGCTCGTGCAGTTCGAAACGAGCTCCCCGGCGGCAATTTCGAGATAAATGCACACAATGCAATACAGAGCAGAATCTCCTTCCATTTCGCGGACGGAACTTGACTGAATAATGTTCGACTAAAGAGTCAAACGAAATGTATGCCTCATATCGATCACTGTCCAACTTGATTTCAAGAAAAGAGCCTGAAGCAAATGCCCTTACATCGCGTTCTGTCTCCCTCAGCTTGGAGTCTGCTCTGTCTCGAACAAAAGCGAAAAGGGAAAAGTGCCAATTGAATAATAGACGTCTCCCTCATCCTTACTCATCTGCTCCTTCAAAGCTGGAATCGGCTCGACCCGGAAGATCCGAGTTTAAAAAGCGGCATGCGTGCATTCGAAGATCTGCAGACTCACCAAAATACGGCACGAGAGCATTTACCCTTTCTCGTTTGTCAGGCTCATATTCTCTAAAAGTTGGGAGCATCAGTTCACGCTGAATTGCGCATGATTTGGCAATGCCTCACTCTTTCGTCTGGGGCCTGGCACCTTCGCTCCTGTCATACTCGGAATCCAACCGATCCTGAAACATTCAAGTGTTGGCACGTTCCTTCGGGGTCATCTGAGACCCACTCGAACCGAGCCGGGAATTTGCAGGCTCGGAAAGCTGCCCATTCGAAAGCGTGATGTGAACGTGTGTTAACGAAAACAGTTGTTAGAGAATTATATCTAATACAATCCTCATTTAATATTAACTTCAGTAATTTCTTCTTTTTTTTTGCTGTAGATCATAAAAGAGAATTCGGTGACATTGAAAATGTGAAACGTGCCTTCATGGCGTAAATTGCCGTCATGGCTCACTTTTAGGCTCAAGGTCTAGAGCATTCCAGAGGGCATTGCTTCATTTAAATTATAAATGATGATTTTACATTAATGTCAGCTTTCTGTGGCGTACGCGGGAATTACTTTATTCCCACTTCAGTCACTGATTTACCCAGAAACAGTTCTTATGAAACAGCAGTCGAATGAGATATGGCGCCATCTAGAAATGGATGGCGGGGGACAAACAATGGAAAAATCAATTTAGCGGTATCAGTACCAGCTAGCAGACGAAAACTGTGACGCACGGATATTTATGACGGCATGATGGCCGCGTGCATGGTGCGATTCCTCGCCCATATGACTCCTTCCTGAGGCCAAGGCTTCGAGAACGTGCATTATTGTACTGTTCAGGATTCTGCAACGTCTGCTTCGAATCTTCACGTTATGGCCTAGCAATAAGCTCAGTCACGAGTAAAAGAACGCTTCACTTTCTCCCGTTGCCGTCCATGGATGCTGTGACCTTCATTTCTGGCTAAGGACCAAGAATTTGCATTGGTTGTCGCTTGCGCCCAGAACTTGAGTGGGCCTTCTGTTTGCCAGCCTCTTTGAAGATGGATATCAAGAAGAAGTTTCATTCATTCATCAAGAAGCCTGTAAGTAGGAAAAGGCTTCAAATATTCCTGTATATGTCTTGACTTGAACTTGACATTAGAGATTCGGCTTCAGGAAATAGTCTTCATTAGACAATATTTTCCCCCATTTGATCAATTGCTGCACATCTCAGGATACTCTCTACTTTGTGCGCCAACGTTGGGTAGACAGTTCCTACGAGTGCCATATAACTGGTGCCTTTGTATTTTATACATGGACTGAATTGCTACCTAAATTTAAGTGTCCACTTGATAAAAGCAAGGACCTTGAGGTTGTTTTTTTTTTTTTTAATCTAGTGTGAACTCCAGTGAAAAGATCTCAGATCATTTTGAAGTGCTTTTCCTGGAGGCCTTCAACAAGGGATTTCTTTTGCACTACATAGTCATACTCAGATTGCATAAAATTGCTGAAGACTAAAGCGAATTTTGTCATGTTAAACTTCAGCAGACATTTTTATGGCACAGACAAGAGCCTTAATATTTTAAATTATCCTTTATTGATCACAATATAGATTATGGAGGGAGATGGTGAAAGTCTGCAAAAATTATATAGGTAATTAGTTTCTGAAATGTGCACCATTGTAATGAGGTGGATCATACAAGTGCAGCCCAGATTTTGCCAGATTGTCATGAGGAAGAAATATCAAACAATTTTTTACAATATCAAAAAAGAAAAACCTCAAATTCACTATGGAAGTCAAGTAGACCTTTGTCTGTAACAATTCCTTAGGGCCTTCAGATTAACTATGAAGTCAAGAGTGTTTCAATGTTTCTTAGTGTTCAAACTGATCTATAAGTCCTGAGTTTTGTTGCATTCTGAATCCTTGATTATATTGCACCTTTTTCTCCATAGGCACATGGGAGTGGCTCTGGGCGAGATGGTCGAGCTTCAGAGAGTCTCGATCAAGCCATCATTGGATCAGTAGTTCGAGATCAGGATGCCGAAATTCGAGAATATCCTACTGACCCCTTAGAAGATGAAGCTGTTCTCCAAGAAATTCAAAAAGAGTACTATGAGCCAGATGAAAAATTCAATGCTAGCCAATTTGAGCTTCAGGTCAGCCTAGATTAGATTGCCTGTTGATATAAATTAGGGTAAAACCTTTATTGCTATTATCTATTGTAGATGAACAGTAATGTGTAAATAGATCTTCATATTTCAAAATGTTATTATTTTATTATTTAATAATTTGCTCCTTTTTTCAGAAATTGCCAGAGAAACCTGACATGGCCTTTGTCAATGAACAAAGGCATCGCTTGAAGAGGCAGTATCATGTTGTTTCCAAGAAGGTATCAAGCCTCATCTTGTTAAACCAAAGGAAATGCACAACAGAATTGGAGAGGGTTGCAGCACTGCAGGAAGATCTCTCCCATTCCCTCCTCTTCACCATGTCATCAAGGAAGAAGCTGCGTGAAGCACAGGAGACCTTCACCATTGCCCTTCTCAGAATTTTGGCCAACCACAGACGCCGCCAGATGGTTGCTCAACTCGTGGACTCATTGAATACCATCCGGACACTCCTTAGAATTGAAGATCATGTTCAGGCTCTCTTGCTTCGTCAGGACTACCCAGGTGGAGTTTACCTTCATTGCATTGTCTTCTTTCTCATAGTATTATGAGTACTTATGTTGTGTGGCTTTTTTTTTTCAGGAGTTGTTCAGCTGCTCATTGAAGGCCAGTCAGCTGCTGCCACATATGGCCACTTTAAATGTGTGTCAGATCTCAATTCTAAGTTGAGGGACAATCTAATGCTAGCAAAGGAGGAATTAGACAAGGCACTTGGATCCATGTGCCTGCAGTTCCAGGCAGAGACATACGAACGTCTCCAGGTGGCATATGCCCTCCTTGGGGAGACCCAGACAGCATTGGACCAATTGCACCTCCATCTGACCTCCACGATTTTGAATCGTGCCACACAGGTCATGTTGGATCATGCTAGGTGCTCTTCAAGTCCTTCGATGCAGGAAGAACTCATCAAATTACACTACCAGGACCTATGCAAAGTTAGATTATCTTTCACACATCGCATTTTTAGAGGCTTGTCTTGTGACTAAGGTCTCTTCATGTTGTCTGGTCCTAGAGAGTTGCAGAAGAAGAATTCATGAGCTGCCTGATTCATCTGTGTCGAGAGATGTGGTGCATCCTCCAGAGTTATCAACATATTCGTATCTGGCACCAGACCCGTAAGTCTTGTGACTATCATCCTGTTGGATGTTGAGCTACTTGTGGGTCTTGTCATTCTTCATTCCTGACACAGGGGGAAAGGATACTCCCAGTGATGTTGAGGCAACTTTGAGTGAAAATTACATCAAGCAGAAACTGCGACGAGGCCCAGCCCGCATTTGGGGAGATGTTCAAAGCAAAGTCACAACTTTCATTTCCTCTGCAGATCTTTCTGGTCTGAAGTTGGATCAGTTCCTCCTCATCCTTGGTGTTGTGCACAGGTGATGTCACAGACCAGTATTCATATGCCAGGATGTAGAGGAAAATAAAAATAAAAAATATAGCACTTATATAGGTTGAAGGAGATTGGGGAAGAGTTGTGCGAAGGTGAATCGGGGATTGCTAAGAACCTGGAGGAGAGCGTGCGAAATCAGAGTGTGGCCTTCATTGAACATCAGCTAGAGAAGAGCATGGAAGAGCTGCGAATATTTCTTGAAAATGAGGGATGGGAACCCTTTCCTTTTAAGAGTGGAGGCAATCTTTTCCACCTTGAAGTAATGCATATCAGTGTCTTGTTTGTTTAAGTCATTTTCTCGATTCTTGGCTCTCTTCGCTACATCTCACTTCTCTTCCATCAGGAGTTCCGCTTCTTGAATTTGCGAGATAGAAAAGTAGACAAAAGAAGACAAGGGGGCACGAGTGATGGTGGGGATTGGAGGAACCAAAGTGCAAGCAATCGTAGCTTCCTTCAATCTGATCTTGATCCATTTTCACCTGAGGAGCTCTCTCTTAATCAGGTACTCATTTTTTTATTTCAAGTGTTAGAAAGTGAATTAGTCTTGAATGTCAGGAAACTAACTCCAAGTTTATGGTACTGATAACATAAAGGGAGACAATGATGAGTCACTGAGGATGTGCATGGGTGGGATTGATGAGAGGAATGACGAAATACAAGATGATGATGAAGAGGAGATCCCTGATGAACTGAGGGGTGACTACATCGATGAAGTTACTGGAGCCACCGTGAAGACGTATGTATGCTTTGAGGAGGCGTCTTTTCAGAATCATCTGCTAAGCAGGCAATGGAATTTAAATGGGGATGTGTCATATGGTGTCACAGGGCAGTGAGGCAGCATCGACGCACGAGTGAAGGAGGGAGTCACGTTCCCCTCCTCACAAATACAACCCTGACAGTCCTTCGTGTTTCAGGGAAATTCTTCCAAATGATGCTCCTTCTTGGTCCAGTTGCTTACAATGCCTTTCTCTGCATCCAGCAGCTCTTTGACTTCTACTTCCATTCCATCCTTATTCTCTTCCCTTTTGATACGGTATTTCCCCCATTGCCCCTCTTCTCTCTGCTTCTGGAGGCTTCCATTACACACTGTATTATTTTATACCTCCAAGAATGCATACGTCCAAGTGGAGAAAAGCGGGCCAATCATGAAGTTGCGCATCACAGCCAACCGTCTCAAGGAGGCCAAGTTCCCCTGCCCTTGTGTTTCAGCCTATGTTGAAGACAGTCGTAAGGACTCTCAAAAAGACTTGGCTCTGCGGCTTGTTGCCGGAGAATCCCTCGTCTGGCTTGCATCTCAGTTCAGACTCTTGAAGTTGCATTTTGAGGAGCTCCTGCCACCTTCCAAGCAGTCATTACTTCAAACGTGAGAGAACTTCTCCCTGCCATTGATTTGATCCTTGTGCATCATTCTTGCCAATAAAATTTTGATGTGATATCTCCTGCAGGTTCTACAAACGCTCAATTGATGGCATGGAAGAGCTAATGGAGGGGTTCTACATGTCAGTGGGTGGTAGGGCCATAAATCCTGATCGTGTTCTTGAATCCATGGCTGCTGTGAACTGGGAGATTGGGGAGATACAGGATACCCACAATGCCTATGTGGAGATCCTTATTCGGGATCTTCAGCTCCTCAGTATGAAATTGGAAGGCTGTCAGCTGGATGTCCCCCAGAAAGCAAGCCAAGCTATCTGGCACCATGCTGAGCGATGTGCTGTTCGTCTCTTTGTCGATGGGTTTGTTTGCAATCTGAGAGTTTCATCGAATGTATTCTGTGCATTTTCATCTTCATTTGCTCTGGTTGAAACAGGTTTTCATTGGCCAAGCGGTGCAGTGCACAGGGTCGTTCGTGGATGCTCCTGGACTTCCGCATCTTCATCCAGAAGTTGGCTCCCTTCTCCCCAATTCCTCAGATACCTGATTGTCCATATGTCGAGGAGTACATCAGAGCTTACTACAAGACTGATGTTGAGCTGAGGAGGTGGCTTGTTGACCACCAGGTGAGAGGTTTGCCTTCTGCTGTTTTCCACATTCAGACAACAGTAGTTGTCCTTCATCATCCTTTTTTTCATTCTTTTAGAAGACATATGGGAAGGATCACCTGCTTGGCCTTATTGCCTGCATTCCCCACCTGAGCAAGAAGTCTCGAGCTCAATTGTCTGCCATCATTGAAGAAACAAATCAGTGATTTCATTAAACATTTTAAAGTTTATTTCTTGATAATGGAGTTCTTGTACATCTTCATGAGACCTTCATTGATTGCTGACATACTGCTGGTCAATGGATGTGTTTGAGATAGAATACTTATGGTCTTTCCTCAAGACATCCTTCGATTGCTCATCATTGTGAGAGCAATGACAGCTAATACTGTAGACCCAACCAGATTGAGAAGTCCACTGATAACTCTGTTAACACTGTTAATTTTTTGTTTGAATTTGTGTTTAAACCTTTCTGTTTACAGAAATGGAGAGGTAGTATAAGTCAAGCCAATGGGAATGGAGGGATATAGTGAACAGAAGAAAAGGAGGAGGAAATTCCCAGGTCCAGCTGGCCTCCTCAACCCTGGATCTGCTGTTGGTATCATCCCCATCTATGTTACATACATATGAAGAACACTGACATATTCTTGTATCTTGTAAATACAGGTGTTCCAGAATGATCCAGGAGGGAGACAAACTTTGGGAAATACGAATTCAATTGAAGTCATTCCTTCAAGCCAGGTCTGTCAAAATTTGTTTGTTCTTATTCTTTCACTTTGTCCTAAAAGGGTTGAACATTTTTTTTTTTTGCTTCAGGACAGTGAAGTGAACTTTGAAAAGGGACCATGGAAACACGCTTTGGAAGAGCTTGGGCTTGATGAGCAAGACCCAGGCTCCCTTCTCACCAGGTCTGATTTTTTTTTTGTCCCCTTTTCTTAATCACAAACACCTGGAGATATATATATTAATTTTTTTTTTTCTCCCATGACTAGGTTCAATATTCCATGGGTCATGCGAAGTGCAGAAGCTTGCCAGTTTGTCATAAGGAAGGTGCCCCTGTTGGTTGTGATGTTGAAGAGCATTGAGGTAAATGCAAGTGGAGGAGCAAGCTGTGTTGTGCGAGATCGAGCAGGTGAGATGCGAGCCTCACTCCACTCTGATATCCTCAAAGACCGAGCTTCATTGCTGCAAGCAGGGAGTGTGTTACTTCTACGTGACATTGGTGTGTTTTCCCCAAGTGGGCTTGGACATCACCGCCGCCATTATCTCAATATCACATTACAGAATCTTCTTCGTATATACTACACGGACTTGCTCGAGGATTCAACTGTCAAGTGCTGTCGGCTTGCCAGCATCACAGACCAAGAACTTCATCAGCTCATCGGGGAGATTTTGTCAGCACCTTTAATGGAAATCAAGAATCAGTCATTGCCTGCTCCTCAGGTGGAAGCCAAATCACTCTGGTCAAGCATTCCTGCTGGTAACTTCTCATCTTCCCCATTCAGAAAACCTCTGATGGCAGCTATGGATTCAGCTTCAGCCATTAAGAAACCTGGGTCTTCCATCATGGAGTCATCTCTGCATAGGCCCAAGAAGCCTCGCCCATCGTCACCAATTGGTGGGAGTGGAAATACAGACCCTAATGTCCTCCATGAGTGGTTACAGTCAGGTAATGTATTCATTAGTTGTTTTATTGTCATGCAGTATTTGACCTTCACTTATCCAATGTCTCTGTGCTTTGATCTAGATGAGGTGGATGAATTTCTGGCTGATCTCGATGAGGAGAGCTTCATGCTAGAAGGAACTCCCATGTGAAATCAAGGTGCTTACTCTTGTATAATTCCATTTTTATGGAAAACTTTATTTTTGTTCAATATACCGGATCTCCTCTTGACTCAAGCCATGATATGGGGAATAGATTGGAGACAGAGAAAACACAAAGGTTGCGAAGAAAGTAGCTCCATCAAATGGTATAGAGAAATACAATAGCCTCTGCCAATCCTTATTACACATACCACAATGTGATACAGTACTCAATCACTGGGCATGGGGATCAATTAGAAGTTGTAGCAATCAAGGCACAATAGACAACTATTCAGAAATTGTGCACATAAAGACAAAACAAAAAACATATAAAAGAAACAATCACACTCATTCTGTGTTCACACTTGATTCCTGTATGTGTTCCTCACTCATTCATTCATTTCTTTCTTCCTTTCTCCTCACCTGACTAGTACGATTCCCATTTATAGGAGTACTATCCCCACCTAAAATGAAATCATCACAGATGAAGTGGATATTATTGGTTTAAAGTTAAATTTGATATATCTGAAGAGGAACCTGTTCAGCAGTCATGGGTTGACACCTCCAGTTGTAGAGGTAGTAATGAAGATTCCCATCACCAACACCAAATTTGAGCTCCTCAAGAAATTGTGTATTCTCCATGAGGTCCAAGGCATTGAACACATCATATGACAGCTGCAACATAAAACTCAACTTTCCTCTTTGTTCCAATTTGGAGTGACTGGTACATAAACAGATAGGGCAATCTTACATTTTTGGCCGTGATAAGTGCATCTTGGATGAGGTCCACCCATGGTGTCTTAGTGCTGGCATTGTAGAATGAATATGCAGCCTTCAATTGCTTATGAGTAGGATGATGCATCACAGTCGATGGGAGAGTGTAGAAACTTGCAAAATCTGAAAGAAATGTTATGAAAAACTTTGTAAATTTAGCATATAGTTTGTCTGAAAATGAGGTAAATGGGTGGATTTAAAATTTATTTTGGAAAAAAAGGTCAAACTTGTTTTGGGGTGAGTGGCAATGGCTGGCACACCTACCTCTGCAAGTGAGTGCCAATGATGTCTTGCCCAAAGCCACATATGGGTAAGGCATTTGCCAAACTTGCAACTTCTTTCAATTTTCATGATCAATAACATGTTTTCACAGTGGCTTTCCTCTACGTTTGCCACCCTGTCAATTGATTTTTCCAGACAAACTAAATAGGTGCTAGAAAATATAATGGTTGGTGCAAATACCTGTGATCTTTCCCTGAGTTTCAACAACATAGCTGTTGACAATATCCTGTCTTGGCAGGAACCAGTGCTCACAATCTTCTTTCGTAATCACTGGTGCTAAAGAATATTTTCTCAATGCCTGGAGACATGAAATGAGCACACCTGCATTTAATTCCGAAGAGATGGAAATTCTCTCAAGGATGGAAGGGACAATGCAAACCTCCTGGAGCAGCTTGTGCACACGTTTGATATCTCCACGTTGCATTTCCCTGAAACCTGGGGTCTTCGTGTGTTCAGGAAGGCGATAGAGCTGGAGAGTCCTCTTCATGGTCATGTTTCGCGTGAGGTGGGAGAACTTGACCTCAATGAGTTTGCGAGGATTAAGGGAACGATGCCAATATCGACACGTGGCCACTGGCTTTGGGAGGACCACACCACCAGTATACATGGCTTGAAAGATCCCCTTCAGGTTCACACGTCTTGTGATCTCCTTGATGAGGACTGGGGCTACTCGCTTGGAACGGAGCTTCTTGTGGACACAGAGGAAGTTGATTTCCACCATCTTCTCCTCCCTATATAATGACACATCAGAAACATCAACTCAGCTCTTCTAGTTGGTTCATATGAAACATACTCTTTCAATATATCATCAATGGAGACAGACTTGTCATAGATGCGAATAGTGGCAGGGACAGCCGAAATGAAACAGACGAGCTTCTTGCTCTTGCCCACGCGCACTCCACAGTGCCAATCTGATTCCCACCCAGGAGGTTGTAGTGCCCACTGAAGGAATTCTTGAGAGTAGTCAAAGCGGAACATGTTGTCATCATCTTCCACATAATTCTCGCTCAACAGCACATATACCTCGTGCAGCTAGATCAAATAAATGAAAATTTTCAAGAGTCAAAATTTTAATCATAAAAAAAAAACGAAGAGTTCTGCTATTTAAGATAGAAACTGGTATAAGTCATTCCACATCAAGTTAGCCAAAATGCATAATTTAATGAACTTTGGTAGACAGAAAGACTATTTTGAGAATAGCAAACAGCAAAAATGTAAGGTATCTTCACATAAAATTGGAGATGAGATAGGGGTGATTCAGGTTTGGCATCATGCCAAAAATAGGCTTCAAGCCAACAGAATATAACTTGCTTTTTGCCCATGAGTTAGCTAACACTTCAAATTAAAGCTGAATGTGGAATCTAATATGGCTGCAAGTTTAATCAATTTAAATTTGATTAAAACAAATTTATTTGATTAATGAATCTAAGAAAAGGTCAATCCCATGAATACTGTGGGAATCATGACACATATGTTAAAAAATGGGTTCCACTTCGAGAAAGCTTCACCAGAAAGACTTGGAAAGAACTTACAATGTCAGGACTATTGATGTCAAGCGTGTCCCATTGAAAGCCCTGGGGTAAGGAATAGGGCTCTTGACGAAGCTCATGTTTGGCTGGGCGTTCCTTCACAATGGGACCATTATCAATATCTGGTGCCTTCTCACCTGCAACAGGTGCAAGATCATTAAGGTTAAGCTATTAAATTTAGTGGAAATGGAGCTTGAGTCTAGAATCTTTAATAAGTCTCTGAAGTGTTTCCCTCTACCTCACATGCTCTTCACAAGTTCAGAGTGCCATGGATATGTGCAAGGGAGTGGACTTTGCCAGAATTACTGTATACTCTCAGCTCCATTTTCTCCAAGTGCCACTTGGGATCACTCTGACCAAGTATATCCATAGATCAATGAACCAAAAACTTAACATCTCACATCCTCCCAACTTCAGCCTATATACATCCTATATTCTTGATTGCCTCCTTCAGAAACATCTCATCAAACACAATTATCTCCAGTCAAAAGCTCTACATTTAAAAGTAAAAACAATTTTCCATATCTCTCATGTTATAATCAATGCAAATTCTGTTCCATTGTACTTTTCCATTCATGAGGTCCATTTTCTACCTTTTCTGGTAAGAACTCACTTCTCAGCCAAAATTTTCCAAATAACTACTCCTGTCGACAATCATTGAGATACCAATGCAATTCTTTTTTACACATTTGCCTAGATTGCATAACTACCCATTAGGCCTTTTTTAAAATCTATTTCTTTGAAGACTGTCACTTTCTGTATCAAAGCCAAAGTTGCTTAAACAATGACCATGGTATATCCTTACTATTTCATGCTTGTACTCTGAAAGATCAAGTCAATAATGAATGATGTGGGTAATAAAAATTGGTCTCCTTGTTTTTATAAAAACCTGAAGTGAACCCTCCACCCTCAGCCCATGTAACGTCATCAAGCAGAGATGTCTTACAATTTATTTTGACCATTCGCTTTCATGAACTTGAGCCTTATTTTCTTTCTATTCTCCATAGCTAGAGATGAGGGTACTGCAATCTTGGGGACTGAAAGATTTGAATTTTTATGAAGAAATTCCAAGTAAAATGCAAATGTAGTCCATCATCACTGATGACCTGACAGTCCCATTTCCCTACCTGATCCTAGTGTTGCATGTCCAGGGGTTCTATAAAAGCTCCATGTGAACATCTAGTCTTTAAACACCTAGGCAAGGTGGAATTAAGCAAGATATCTGCAATCACTTTGACTAAAAAAAACCAATAGGGTTTTTTTGAATGTTACAGGCTACTGAGCAAAACTGAAAAAATTAGGCATACTTAAATGCCAACTTTTTTCATTTGAAACAGTCTAACAAGTTTTATTTTAACATTTCAGGTTTGTAACACCTGATTGAGACTAACACTAATATGGGAATGACATCAGTAAAGGGTGGAAGAAATCAGAGAGACCGTGGCTAGAAGAGGATGTCAGGTCTCAACTCTCACTCTTACCAAGACTAGTTTACCATTCTACAGAGTTAGCCAAAAAACATTCACTCTTCCATTTGATTGCTACATATATCCTAACTGAGACAGTCTCATGCAATTCTGAGAATAAATAAGGCTACTTGTCTTGACTGAATGTAATTTATTTCAATTTGGTCCAATCTATAGTTTTAGTAGGCTAAACCAGACTCAATCCAATGGAATTCCACATTGCAAAGTTTTGCTCAGTTAGCATGTAGCCCATATAAGGGAATATAATTGAGTATCCTAGCCATGCATCCAAGGTGCCCATAGAATGACTTCACAGATTCAATGTCAAATTTCTCATTCCAAAACACTGAAATCAAGGAATGACTAGTACATGGGTGAGTACTTAGCAGTGTCCTAATTAGAAGCATCTACAACTGCATTATTAATTGAAATATCGCTCATGTGGCAAGAGAATGTACTATTTAAATTGAAGTTTTAATAGAGGGTAAAGCTTCTGATTTTGAAGATCAAGGAAGACAATTATATTATTTGCTTGTCATTAACCAAATTCATATGGAACTGGATCTCACTGAATTGAGGAACAGGCTGAGTTTCCCAGAATTGATAATGCTTCTTGCCAGCCTCTTCTAGTGACTTGGCAGGGCCCTGATGCATCCCAATCATTTCCATTGCTCTGGTAATCCCCTGGATGCTTAACTTGAAGCCCTCCATCTTGCTATCCAGGTTTGATGCCTCACCATCTCCTTTTTCTTCTTCACTGTTTTGAGTCAAGAAAATAGGCAACATGGTACTGGATTACAATGCAGGACTTGTTTTCCACAGACTATGTCCTATTAATGAGCCTACCTTCTTGGCTTTCATTCATATCTGTCAAAGGAGCACAAGCAACTGAACTTAAAACTAGACTTCAGCATATAATACAAATAGAAATATCTGCTACCAATGCATATCTAAATTCATAAACAGAATTTATCACCTTGGATGATTACTGCTTCTCTGAGTATCCATGACCAGCAAGGCAATTGTATTAGTTCAAGCCACAGGCAAAGAAATAGGGTATCTTTTGTTACAAAAACACCTCAGCAATGTGGACTTCATTTTGTGAACACCAACCTTACATGTGCATACCTTGGGCCTTATGCCTTAGTTAGATGGAAATTGTTCTGTCTTGTGATTTAGCCTATCACATCAAAGTTTGTGTAACCAAGATGAGAATGGGAGCATGGCCACAAGCAAAGTAGGTGTGTATCAACATCCAATCACCTCACTAGAATTAGAGCTGTAATTGATGTCATCCTGTTCCTGTCATTGTACCCAGTCAATGGATGGGATTCTCAAACTTCTCCAAAGTTTTGAAAAATGACTGATGTAGAGCAGTTCATCAAAAACTCAAGAGACATTGATGGACTGCCTCTAGAATTTGGAAATTGGGAATAATATTCAAATCTAATTGGCCTTAAAGTTAATTACAGGGCAAAATGCTAATCTAAAGTGAACCTGAGATAAATTGACTACTATGCTGCAATAAAATATTTTCTTCACACCACACTCAGCTCCAAATAGCACTTCCTGTTTGCTTACCACATGGCCTCAAATTGATCCACCCACTTTAGTTAACTGTAGAATACAATACAACCACCTTAATGTTATCTGATGAACTTTTCCTGGAATCAGATACTCTCGTAGGATCCTGAATAACAGTTCTGACCAAATTTCAGTTACCACTTAAATCCTGCATATTCAAAAAAGTGGTGCAAAGATGAAGTCTGTCCTCAGGGGTGAGGGGTGGTGGGGAGGAGTAAGTTTGATGTTCAAATAAATGAAAACAAAAAGAAGTTCCTAAGGGGAGAGGGGGGGGGGGGGGGAAGAAGTGAAAACTGTCACTTTAATTTTTTGGCCTACTGTACTGATACTGAGTGAAAGGAAGTTGAACCTCCACTTCAGATAGCTGTAAGAAATTCCTGCATAATACTGCACTAACTTTATGTCAGAACTCCATATGGTGCAGACTTCATGCCAATGCCAAAATTATTTTTAATTGACCAAATTGGCCAAAGCAAAGGTATGAGAGCAGGAAGAACCTTGAAAATGACATTAACTTCTTCACAAGCTGTTAACCATGAGCTAACTCTCACAAATGCTTATGTGTTCCCTAAATTTGGCAGAACCTGATGCACTTAATGTAAGGTTAGTCAGAACGGCTGCAACGAAAATTGATCAAGGCTACAGCATCAAACGAAATATAGTTTCACGCTTTAAATAAAAATGTTGATCTGAGCTACTGCATCAAGCGTCATGGTAACCTACTGCACGAAACTCATGAACATGGGACTTCATAGGGTTGACGATGTACCGGAACTTCATGCAACCACAACGTCCATCAACCATTCTATCCAAAATTATTAGGCTGCATCACTAGAACGTTTTGCATAAAACCCATTGTTGATAGGATACAAGAAACCCTAACAGACACTATTGTTGTAGCCTGTTGCGTGCCACAGCTAAAAAGAGTTGGACAAGGGACCACGTGAGAGCTAAGCCTATGTCCCACGAAAAGAACCAATTAGCATATCCCCCATCCGTAAATACCTTTGCATATCGTCCTTCGTCTCCATATCGAGCTTGTCTTGATCCCCGGATTCGTCTCCAGTCCCATCCTGCAGGGGCAACGAGACCTCCTCGTCTCCTTCCTGCCCGTTCATGGTCGCCACGGGGTCAGCCATGTTGGAAAATGCCTCCAGCCAATCCCCATCCCCGCCGTCGCCATGGCAACGGACGGCACTGTCGCTTCCGAGGAAGACGGGGCACGTGCCCGTTTCGTCTCGTCTGGCCGAATCCGGGGATGGAGAAGAGAGGGAACAGGAAGCAGAATTTGCTGCAATCCATCGCTCGATCTGGGCATCGTAAGCGTCGTTTGTATCAAATTTTCAAGGGCTTTCGAATATATCAACAGAGTGTTGCGCGTCGTAGTGAGTTCGGGGGAGCTGTCGGCCTTGGCCGAATTATTCGAGACGCTGTCCACGTCGGACAAGACGGGTGAGGCTGGTCTGGACATCACGACGTTTCGGGATCTCATGCACAGCTCCTTCGACATCGACTCCGAGATCATCATGGACCGGATCTTCCGCGCCTTCAACCGGCGCGGCTCCGAGAACCGGCTGAACCTGGAGGACTTCCTCGACGGCCTCAAGATTTTTCTCAAAGGGATGCCGCAGGAGAAGCTCATGTGTGAGTTTGACACGCGAATGGGAAGGTTTGTAGATCACTTGATTGTTTTTTTAATGTGACAGACTGCTTCAACGTGTATGACCTGAACGGGGACGGGTGGATCACCAGGGACGAGATGCTGCATTTCCTCAAGGACTGCCTGGTGAAGTCGTCGCCGGACGAGGACACAGAGGAGGGGGTCAAGGAGCTCGTCGGTGTGTATCCCCCCCAGCGGGGATGCCAGATGGTCAGATGGATATGGCCGGCTTTCGCGGGGGGGAATCATCATTGCAGTAAATATGGCTTGCAGAAAAATGTTCTGGAGTAGCAGTCGACTCAAGACGAGTTTGGAATGGTGTCCAGCACCGCCGGCCCTCGTTCCTCACCCTGGCACTTCACGTTTTAATGTTTTTCTTCAACACTTACCTGATGTTTATAAATTTAGCTTCCCACGAATCGAAGAGTCGTTCGTGTACCTCACGAATGGGTTAATAAAGTTCGCCCAAAGGAAATCAGAACATCATCAAAGCCCTAATTTCGTCGCATTGACCCCCGCGAAAGCCGCCGAATCCGGCATCCCTGCTCCCTCCACAACCCGCGCTGACCCTCTCCCACCCCGCAGAGCTGGTGATCCGGAAGGTGGACCGAGACGGCGACGGAAAGGTGTCGCTTCGGGACTTCGCCTCGGCCGTCCACGACGACCCGCTCCTCCTCGAGTTCCTGGGCCAGTGCCTGCCCGACCCCAAGGTAACTTCCCTTCCCTTCCGTCCGATGACGTCACCTTTCCCGGTCCCTCTAACGGGGAAACGACGAGACGTTTCGTTGCTCGACGGCGCGTGTAGGCCATAAAGGCACGAGACAGTGGATCCTCGGAAGCCGAACTGACAACATCGCGGTGGAACATGAACCCCTCCGCGTTGGATAAAGCACGAAAATGTTGGTTTATTTCGCTTTCATTTTCGACGAGAAGCTCCCGACTCCTCGTACATACAAACGAGAAGAGAAATGGCACAAGAAGGCAGCCAGGCCTCTCGTCTCTGACCCGCTCTCGAATCCGCACATATATTTACGATCGCGAATACCCATCTCTCTCCATCCACCACGATCGAAGCCGACCGGTCGTCATGGTGTCTTCGACTGGCCTGGATCGGCCTACAGCCAAGAACCATCGTCTCGAAGTCATCGGCAGCTCTCGAAGGCAAGAATGCTCGGAACAGGGGGGAGGGGGGGGTTTCTCTCAGGATTCGTGGAAAGCCGGTTCCCCGGAATCCAAATGGAAACACCTGTCGACCGATGCCCATCCCGTTCCGAAACCGTTTTCGGGTCGGTCTCTGCCGTTCCGAGTCACGAGGGCTCGCGATGTGACGTCACGCGTCTCGTCTTTTCCGATCCTGCGCGTCGTATGGGTCGGCAGTTCGACGGAGACTCGCCTTTCGGGCCGGGCAAATCCATTCAAAATTATTCCTCTTCGTGCTTCCGAACCGGCACCGGTCTTCGCAGCGCGAGCGAACGAGGTCACGTGCAACAGCAGGTCACGTGCGAGTCCGAGAATACTGAATTTTACGCTTCGGTTCGTCGACCTCGCCGGGTCGGGACGTTTCGGTTCCTTCGTCCGTTTCGACGCGGAAGCTTCACGACGAGGCGACGAATCTCACCCGAAAACGAGTCGAGCGCGGAGGGTTAAATGGCCCGAGTGTTCGAGACCCGTTTACCGCCAGGTGAGAAGAATAGATAAGGTTGGGCTTCGTCCCAGCGGGGGGTGGGAAGGGAGAGATCATCACGTCACTGGCATTGTATGCACTCTCCCCGGCCGACAGATAAAATCTCCTTTTTCTAGTCTATTTCTCCTCTGTCGAAAATGTCACATCGGTTCGTTTTTCCTTGCCATACCACCTTGCTCTTTGCACCTCCATCCCATCGCACTCGAACGGTCGCATCGCTCGATCTGGCATCACTGCCATCACTGCCGAATGGACCTGGCATCACTGCCAGGTCCATTCGAAGATGCCGATCGCACGTGCAAGTCTCCGCCTGCAAGAACAAATGACGATTTTGAAGCCGACGGGAAAAAACGTTCGGTTCGTCGTTTCGAAGGATCCCGAGTCGGGAAAGACCAAAGCGATGCGGTGAAAACGCGCGGAATATGGAATTGGAGTGGACCGAGGGACGGATCCCAAAATAACCCTTTGGGGTCGATTGTTTATCTTTCGCCGAGATGATCCGATCTAAATTCCAAGTCGACCGTCGGAGTATCCCGAATACTTGTAAGAACGCGGTCGTTCGTCTGGATTCGCTTAATAAATTCTGAGTCGCTCGGCAAGGACAAGAAGATGAAGAAATGGAAGATCTTTCGTCGAAGTCGTGAGAAGGAAATATCCTCACGGTGTTCGTGAAAATCGCGTGACAAAGTGACGAAGAAGCTCCCGTCCTCTCGATTTGGGCATACGGCAACCCGGAACGAGGAAGTCTGACAACGAGCGCATATTTTCGTTGCCGTTTCGAACGGGCGAACGACCAACAATTTCCGCAAACGATAATATATTCTCGCTGCAGTCGCATCCCCCTTCAACTTTTGAGTATGGAATCCTCCCGCCTCTTTCCCATCCGCAATTTAAGGGATTTTTTTTTTTAATGAGCGATCGGTTGCGAAATTTGGACATCATGCTTCAAATAACATCGGAGGAAAAGCAAAGGAGAGAACGGAGCACGAGCCGGGGCTTCGCTTTCGACCCGACCTCATCTGCTCTTCTAACCTGGGTTTACGGTGTCGGTCGACGTCCGATCCGTTCTCGATCGGTCGTCCTGCCGTCATGGATTTCGTCATTCGAGGTTTCCGGAATTTCCGCGTCGGAACACGAGGCGATCGCCTTCGTCGCGAGTGAGTTTCCACGCGAATTAGCGAGTCTCGAGGTCCCGGGACTCTTAGAACTTTAATTTAATCCCCCGGATCGTCGTGGACCGCCGGAAATGGCGAGGATCGCGGGCCTGGAACGCACGATCGCGCTCGCCGTCGGCCGGAAGGTACGGCCGACAGTCGGCTGCGGGCAAAGCCGGAACGCGGGGACGGAAGTCGAGACTTCGGTCCACCTCGAAAAAAAAAAACCCAAAACGTCGACCTTTCGTATTACCTTTCACGATTCACAGTCATTTTCCTCTGCCGCGTGCGAGTTCTCCAAGTTTTAAGCAAGTTCAGCAGGAGCAACGCTTAAATACGTGAAGATCCGAACGCGAGCGTGCGGCCTCAAGTATCTGAAGATCTTGACGATCGTTCAACTTGCTAGATCTATGCAATAGATTGAAAATCCGCAAACAAAAATTATTCAACGCCGTCATCGATATGAATGTCGGTTAAATCATGAGTACAAAAATGTCAACTATTAAGAGAGGGTGTCACCCCCCCCCCCCCCCCCCCCCCCCCCCCCCCCCCCTGCTCTCTCAGAGAGACGCTCGACGAAGCCACCCGCCTCTCCGCGCGAAATCGCGGATGATCCGACGGACAAGGTACGCGCCTCGCGCGGCGGGGCTCTGGATTCGGTCGTTCGGTTCGGTCCGTGCCGTTTTCGTTTCGGGACGGACCCCATCCCCACGGCCTGGAAAACGAGCACAAAATCCAGCACCAGGAGGCGAGATCGGCGATCCTCACGATTTTCGGGGAATCGCCCTCGTCCGCGGCCCCAGGAAAAGCATTCTCCACACTCCTTGCGATTCGGGTTCCAAAAGAAAGAAAGAACCCACGATTCACCGCGATTCGTTCAAAGACTCAAACGGGGGGAGGGAGGGGGTTCATACTTCTCGAGAAAAGAGTTTCACGTATCGGATCATTTTCCGAAGGAGACAAAGTTACGGAGTTACCACGCAGAATGCGAGAGGAATCGCGTCGGACGGCGAAGGCCCGTGTGGGCCCGGAACGACGCGTTGCCGAACCGCCGGGTCGCATATCTTCCCGAAGAAGCACCTCGACGACCGGAAGTGCTTCGACGACGAGGTTGAATCCCACGGTGACCGTGTCCTCGACCGGACGAGATCGTGCAGAACCCGACGAGCTCGTGCCGACGTTTTCGTGCTGCTTTCGGCTCATTTTCGCCCGCGTCGTTTCGTGAAGATGCACGAAACCGTTGCGAAGTCGCACCGTTTTAGTGCGAGCCATCGCTTCTGGTTCACCCTGCATATAAAATTAAGGACCGGTTGACCGACTCGAGATGCGGTCCCGTGCGACACGTACAGTCGGAAAGCGACCCTCGCCGATCTACGTTAGTGCGTCAGGTCTTTCGGAGTTCCCGAGCGGATTGCATCAAACTCAATTAACCTAATGGAGCTTTCGAGTGGTCTAAAGGAGGTTTAAACCTAACGTAGATCGGCGAGGGTCGCTTTCCGACTGTACGTGTCGCACGGGACTGCAGCTTTCGCATCCGCGAGCAAATGTCCCGATCGTGCGGGAAAAAAAACTCAGATCTGCTTCGCTTCGGTGGCCGTGGTTTTATCGAAAAAAAAAGCACAAAAAAGGGGGGATTTGTGATCCGCGTCGAAGTTCGGCGGCCTTCACGAGCCCGTTTTTGTACGCGACGGAACTTGGAAATGCAGTCACGGAATCACGATCGGTCCTTGAAAAAAAAACAAAAAAAACATGGAAGTATTCATGAGCTGCGTCTTGCTGAGGCTCCTCGAGGTTTCTGACGAAAAGATTTTTGAAAAGATCCGAAAGAAATAAAATCCCAAATAAAAAAGTCCCAACAAATTTCGAGTACTGCAATTCCATAATCCCATCGAAGGCGAGACGGCAGCGAATGCTCCGAATTCGTCTTAAGATATATTTAATTAAGGTAGGGTCTCCATTAAAATTCGGTTGCTCGATTAAATGATCGACGGTTAATTTTAAAAATATCCTAACAGCCGAAAAGAAACGTGAGAAAAGTATGAATGAGCATATTCCCCAAAACCGGGGATTCTCCAGAATTAGATCGTATGTAAATAGTAAATGCCGGGCTTTTGCTTGGATTTTCGATGGCCGGTGGTCCCATCCTTTGAGGCGATCTCGGTTGAGAAAGAATTTTTTTGCATGTTACCGAAAGATAAAATGGAATTTAGGTACACCGACGTCGAAGAATGTAAAAATAAGTTTTTGAAAATTATCTAGCAATCGTTCTGGTCTACCCGGTCTTGCCCATCGTTCGAGAAAATCCTGTGGTGGTCGGTGAGAAACCAAACCGGAGATGCACGATTACGTCCGGTGGGTAGGGGAGAGGGGGCAAGGGGGGGAGAGGGGGCAAGAGGACAAAGGTTTGCATGGTTTCCTGAGAAAAGAATTCAGGGGAATGTCACGACGTTATGTCACGACGTTATGTCGAGAGGACCTCTCGACATAACGGATTTTGAAGCGAGAAATCGAGAGCCGAGAGTATGGGGGAGAATGCTCTCTAGGTGGTGGTAGACATGAGCCTGGCCGAGATCTACAGGCTCGTACCAGACCCGCACCCGCTGCTAAAGACCCGAGTCCGCCCCGACTCGATCGCAGAGGCGGATGCGGGTGGGGAGGGGGGAAGGGGAGGGGGGTGTTCCTCCGCTGTCGTTTTGGTCTCGGTGTCTCGTTTTCGCTTCTCGTTTTGCAGTTTCGCTCGGATCGTCGGTTCTTCGATCGACGTAGCGGCCGGAGAGCTCGCCGTCGTACCGACGTTTCGAATCGCCGCACCGTTTCTCTTTCCTCTAAACCGGGGGTTCTTAACCTTTTCGTACCTACGGACCACCCAGATCCTCGAGTAGGTACCCATTTACCTCCACCCCCGGTCATCAGAAACTTTGGAACACCTGGATTTGTGATCATAAATGATGTTTTTCGGGAGCTACCTTCAATT